CTCCAAAATTTGTGTAGAACTTCCCAGCTGGAAAGGAGAAGTTTCCATGTCCACTCCTTTTCCTGTGTGCAGATGATCTTGTAGATTGGGCACATGGCCCCTTGCTGTTCTTAAAACTTAGTTTAAACTGTCACTTTTTTAAAAAAAAATCCTTGCTCCTGTAAATTTCAAATAAAAGAGGAGGAATGTGGCTTTGTAGCGTAAATCAGCGTATCCAGGCACACTAGGGGAAGAGCTTGCTATGCTGTCTTGGCACATACAGTGGTATCTCAGTTTTCAAACGTAATCAATTCCGGAAGACCGTTAAGAGCTCCAGAACATTTGAAAATGGTAAACTCAATATGGAAGCCTCAAAATGGAAAACCCAATATGGAAAATTCAATACGGAAGCCACGTGACATGTTTGACTTCCGAGGCACGTTCGAAAACCGAAGCATTTACTTCCAGGTTTGCTGCGTTTGAAAACTGAAATGTTCGTCAACGGAGACGTTCGAAAACCAAGGTATCACAGTATAATCAGTTATCTTACATTGTAAAAATTATGACTCGCTCTTCAGATTTCAAAGGAGTTTAGAAGTTCAACATATAAGAAATCTTGGGATTCTTCATTTCTGTTCTGTTTCCCACCACCCAAAAAACCCTACTGTGCTTCCAATACTTTTTGAAATTATGTAGTTAGAACTCTTGACATAGGTAAGAACACTGACTCTCAAGGTTCTAGTTTTTAAAAAACAATATGGATTATTCAACCATTGTGTAACATGTGTTAAACAGATGCTTTCCCACAATCTAATGCAGTTAAATGTGCTTTAAAATGCATTAATTTTCATGTACTAAGTCTAAGCTGGAATTTGGAATGTGGCTGTAGATCAGATGCCAGTGGTTTCTGACATGTGTACAGAAAATTTGGTTTTTTATATGACCAATAGAACTATTTGAGCAAAGAAATGTCCCTTAAATATTCTCCCATATTGCACCTGTTCATTGCTATCTGTTGTTGTCTTTCAGGCCTTTGTAAAAATGGTTGGAAATAGTGTGTCAGGGATGGAAGAACAGATCACAAAGGCAGAATCAGACCTTGGAACGTTCCCAAATACTTTCAAAAAATTTCTACACACAATCAATGTGCCATCTTTCCTTAACGTAAGTTTTGTTCCTCAACTATGGAAATGCTTGCTATAATAATGTATTTGATATCAAATATCATAAGCTTTTGTTATGTTCAGATGTCAACTTACTAGATTAGTTTGTAAGCCCAGGAGAACAACTTTGGCAAATCTCCCCACTGTTGAGATGATGATTATGATGATGATGATTCATTAAGTAGAGGTGTGGTTGGTTGATCCTGACAGTCAACATATGGATGTGTGGATTTAGATACATAAAAGGGAATGAAACATAATGCAATCTAGATAACTTTCTTGGAGTGTTATATCCCTCACAGACATTTGCTTACAGCGTGCTTCTTCCCTTCAAGGGTTGCGGCCCACCACCCACCCCACCCCTGCATTTATCTGAGATGGGAAATGGTTTGGGGGGGGGACAGGAGATTTGGAACATGCTATATGTGCCATGATTGCAAAATACTGTTTTATTAAACATAACTCCTAAGTACTAAATTTTTAACAAAAGTATGCCCACAGTGGCCAACCTACCCCACCAACCATCAGAAAGATTCATACATGATTCACATTGCTATCTCATATAAGTCCTCCACAGGTGAATAGAAGTTACTTGCTTCCATAAGAAATGAATGACAGTCAGTTCCATTCTTTCTCAGTTCCTTTTTGGATCTTGCCTGTTTTGTGCTTCAGGGCATGATGACTCATAAATCTTTTGCCTTACAAGTTGCTATGAATTACAAGTGGGGAGAGTACTGTTGCACTTGGAACCTGCTTGTGGGCTTCTAATCTAGTTTGGCCACTGTGGGAACAGAATATTACTAGCAGGGCTCCTCTTAAGCTACCACTAAAATTGTGGGGAATTCATGATTTATTTCTGTTTATTCTGTTGTAAGTATTTTAACATACAGGTTTTAATTCCAGAAAACATCTTCCTCAAGGCAGAATCAAACAGTTTATGAACCTCCTGATCTCTTCAAGACAGAAGACTACTTTCCTTCCCTTGGTGAAGCACAGTATATGTGATTTAGCTTGACAATGACATTATTGAAAAGAGAGTCTTATCTAAGTGAGTTCAGTGCTGATCTTAGGTAGTTGCAATTCTTTGGAAATTATGTCCTGCTGCTTCCCATGTGTCCCAGGCCCTCTTCAAACATACTTCAGCTTAGTTTTGTATAGAATATACTGTTTTTCCAGTCTTCCAACAAGGTGAACTATACACTCATGTTTGGCAGCTAACCTTGCAAGTAACCCACTTTGAAGGCAGGGAGAGGGAGATGGGGTTGGATGGAGGCAAGCACACACTCATGCCACATGACTTTTACACATAAGTAGTCCTTCCCCCTCCCTGATTTTATGTGTAGGAAAGAGGATAAGTGTGTGCAGAATGGGCTTCCTTATGACCTACCAAACACCTTTTTTACCTTTCCAGGCTAGAAAGTGTCAGGGAGGCAAGTGGGGAAGTAACACACAAGTTAATACCTTCCTTTCTTACACCTGCCCCCTAAGGATGCCATAAACACACACCTGCCTTTTTTGTCAACATTGAAAGGCTAGGTAGAAGCAGGTATACTTTTCTATGTGTTCCTTAGATCTACAGCCCCTTCTTTGGGCCTAAAATGACTCATGGGGAGATGGAAGAGGCCACACAATAGAACTCATTTTTGTCTTCCTCTGCCCAGGAGTGGACTGACATATGGGCAACCAGTTGCCATACTCTAGTAATATTTTCTTGGTTATTCTCATTTCAGAAATTGGAATAAAAAAATGTATAAATACCCATCTGCAGTTAAGAGATTAAGTAGAGGGGAGAAAACAGGAAATGTATGCTTTTGCATCTCACTTTTTATTTCTGCTGCTAGTATTAACCCACATACCACAAGGATATTTTTCAAAAAATATTCTGTGGTACTTTTAAGTGCAATAAGGACCAAAACTATACATTCATGCCCTTTTAATGAATGTATCTGGATTCAGTTCAATGTATTGGGTGGAAATGCACTGTTTAAACAAGGAGAGGCAAAAGCTGCAAAGTAAAGTCAAACAGCTATAGGTGCTGCCTACTGCAACAATTCTGGGGAACTGTTGCTGACAAAGCCCTTTTTGATGAATACCTTAAAACGTTTGTATATAAAATGCCAAAAGCAGTGGCCAAAGCTCTTATAACTTAAAATCTAATTAAAGTTTAAATAAGATTCCTTAGCGTATGAAGTTTTTATTTTTAAACTATAAATATGTAAGGTTGCACTCATAAGCCCACTTTTTGGGATTATGGCCAATGAATTCATCAAGATCATACTCTCTAATATAGTGTTATGGCATGCCATCCCCCCACCCCAATGGCAGCCTGTTAACTCTCAAAATTTAAACTGTGTACACTGGTTAAAAAAGACTGGCAACCCCTCATCTATATAAGTCAACTCTCACATTGTTACAGAAACTAGGATGTATTTTTATTAAAAGATGATTATGGAATTTGGACTTTTCCTCTAGCAGTGAAACTATTTTCAATGCTGCCATATTGAGAAACCTAGCCAAAGGCTTTTGCAAGCACAAGTACTTTCTGCACCCTCTTGATAATCAATTCTTCACTACTGTACAGGGGATACTGGTGGGGAGATAGAATGTGGTTCTTTTTGGGATAGTAGTTCTTAGTGATGTATTATAATCTCACCCAAACATGAGATTACTAACATAACTCTACAGAATCAAAGGGTGCACATAATGTATTCAGCAGAATGCAGTGGCAAACAAAGCTTTTTCTTAATTCTCTTTCAGTCTGAGTGGGCTGCTACATGATTAAATGGAACAATGTTTCATGTAAAAGACTACCTGTCAGGAAAGTGTCTCACTAATATACACAGCCTGCATAGGCAATGCCCCTCACCAGTGCATATCCAAACACCCAACACACCTGTGGCCTGAAGTAGTGCTGTCAGGGAGTTTTACAGCTCAATCCTGCCTACAGGGTCAAAGACACAGTATACAGGAAACAGAGTTCTCAAAGGGCTGCTTGCTTGAATGCTGCTTCATTACGTCACTTTAAAAACTTCTATACACATCTAAAATTGAAAACTTGGGTTTATTTGAAGTCAACAGATCAATTGCTCTAACATGTAACAGACCAGGCTCTCTTCTACTGTAAGGAGCAGCTCAAGCTTTATGTGCTCTTCTCACTCCTTCATAATCCTTGGCGTCTAGAAAAATTAAGAGGAGCTGTTCACGAAAGCACCACTAATGCACCTCTATTCACTTCCATTCTTGGCAGATCATACATGCAGTATTCAGACATGTGCTGTAGTGAGAGCCAAGCATAATAATTAGCACTGTCATATAATTTATCCTGCAACTTAAAATAAGCTCACATATTAACTTTGGCCAAGTTGAAATTCAGCCTAGTTGGTCAGCACTGAACACAGATATTTGCACTTCAGTTTTGATTTATAGGTCGTCATTTCCCAAACCAAAGTTGCTTTTTCCTTAACGTCTGCAGTGATTTTTGTTTTGTACTTACTGCCAGCATCTGGGTTTCAGGTAAAAGCAGGTTGCTTTTGCCACTACTTTTACCTCCTAGTTTTTTCCCCCACAAAATGGCAGAGGGAGGCACTATTCCACATTCTCTGGGCATTCTCACATGAATGGATGAAGGTCAAAGTTAAAACAGTAGTAGTAGTAGTAATCACCACTACTTCAGCTCACCCCTGAATCCATTTCTTTCACCAAGTTCTGGCATATACATAAGAATCAATGCTGAAACAAAAGTAAATAATCTACCTGTGCCTACAGGACCCCCATTGCAGAATTTATTTATTTTTTGCACTGGCATTATTCACTGTCAGACGAGATTGTATTAAAGAATAGAACCAAACCAAAAAGCCCTCTGAACAATTTTCTGACATTTATAGAAACTGAACAGCCTATAATGCAACTGCTTAAATTGCACAGTTATTTACATGCAGTTTCACCTTAACAAAAATTCTCTTGCCATAAAAGACACGTTAGTAACTAGAAAACAATGTCAAGTCAGCACACCAAATATATCATTTTCTTTTCTTGATGCTAAAGTAATAAGGTGTCCTAGTCAAGTTGAACAGAATGTTAAATGTTGGTGGTTAAAACAATAGTATTCTGTAGAGATATCAGAACATACATTGCTGAAAAGTAAGAGACAAGAGAAGCAATAAAACCTGCCTCTGTTCTCAGGCCTATTTGTTTTTAATGAGTACTCTGCATGTTCAATCTCTTGCCTAACTTTAGACAAGGTTGTCATCTGGGTGACGCAGGAAATAATTCAGCTACTGTAATGATAGCAAGAGCTTTCAATAAACATTGATTCAAATGCAGTGAGAAACTTGAATAAACTCAGGGCCTGCACTAGGCTAGTGTTGCTTAAGTCTTTGATCCCTTGCCCCAAACAAAAGTGGCTTGGGATTATTTGCTAACATAGAGCAGAGCAGCCAGTGAAAAGCCTTCATAAAGTGTACATAGCCAAGTGCTGCCTGGAACAATATGCTATGTCATCAGAGCTCCCAGCAAGCAATAGAGCCATATGAAAAGATCCCTAGGTTGTCATTATAGCTCAATATCAAATGGACAGCTCCTCTCTCTTTATTTATTCCAAAATGCAAATCAAGGATTATTAAACCAAAGTTTTAACTTCAGGGGAGAAAAGTTGCCATTTTTTATGTAAGCCTTCATAGTTTCTTATTGTAAAACAAATAGTTTAGAAAACAGTGCTTGCAAATCCTTGGCTTACATGTTTCATAACTAAAGACAGCAACTGCTACTTTTCAATTAATCAAAGTTTCTGCATTTGTTATAGCTGTCACTGGTAAATCTGTTGTTAATTTGGAGAGCAATCTGAAGATTAGGTTACAAGTTAACCATATTAATTTTAAAGACAGGGGAGGTGGTTTTTTTAAATTATGGCCCTCCTAATAGTTTTATTATTTTATCAAACATATACACTTTTAGAAACAATTTGTACTTTAAAAAAAAAGGCAGGAAAATTGTTACACAATTGTATAAAAACCATAGGCAGAGAAAACTACCCCATGAACAGCAAAAAAGAACAAAACAAAAGCCCAGAGCCTCAGGTATACTATACTGTACCCTACTGCCACAAAGAACACACAGCCCAAATGAAAGAGGCACTGCGTACTAATCTTTTAATAATCACAAGAAACTAAATCAGTGAGACAATTCAAAGAATCATCGAGTTGGAAGGACGCCGAGGGTCGAGTCCAACCCCCTGCAATGCAGGAATCTGAACTAAAGCATCCATATCAGATGCCTGAATATGCAATCTTGATTGCCTTATGAGTTGTTTTTTTTAAAAAAATTACACATCTTCTGATTCACATTTTAAATTCAAACTGTGCTTCACATTTTTAAGTTCAGACATATTGAATCCCAAAAGCACAGAAGGCTTAAGATTTTTTATTGCCCTTAGGCAGGTGTGTCTCTTTCTCCCAAAGAATGATGCAATGTCAACTTTCCAAGCACACAGACTGGATGACAGTAACTCTAACTCCTTTTTAGAGGGATACGGCTTCTTGTGAAAATAATCTATAAGAAACAGTTTCTGAACTTCATTTGAGCACTGTTGGAATGGCTTTGGATTCAATGCTAAAATGTGAAGATTCTCAACGGAGGGCTGGCCCTTAGTTTCAGACTTATGATCAGTCTTTTGTCTCTTGGAAGGCACAAAAGTCATTTCCTTAGCTGGAACTTGGGCTGTGCCACTGTCTATAATCAGGAATGGCTGGTCATCATTCATTTGGTCCTCTGCAACAGAACAAAGGTGATCAGATAGTTTCCTCTTTGTTGAGAGAGAAGGATCATCATGATTTTCACCATTCACAAGTGCCAGATCTTTCTTCTCGTCGAGTTCAAGCTCCATCTTCACAGCTGGGGTGCTGTCTTTGGGAGCGCTCCGGCAGCGAAGCAGATGCACAGCAATAGCAGTCAGAGTCATGTTGCCAGTATATACACCACAGCAGTGGATACATTTGAAAGCTGGGGTCTTTAAAATGGTGTGCACAGTTGGCATGATATGGTGCCTGTCCTTCAAATGGAACTCGTAGGCTTCTAGGCTAGTGAAAACACCGTAACAAAAAGGGCAAGTTGATACTTTCTTATTGCCATTATTCATATCAGCAGTCTCATGTTGCAGCTTCATGTACAGAGGAATAAGTGTCCTTGAATTTACCCCAGCAAGTAATGCTAGGTGTACTTCTTTTTCACAAAGTTCTTCTTTTACAGTTATGTTGAAGTCAAAGTGAGGAAACACCAGGTCACCTTCCGAATCGCTCTCAAGTTGAAAACCTTTGTCATCATAATCTGCATGTAGTTTCTTCTTCCCCTTATGTACAGTTTTAGTATGATCCACAAGGCATTTTAGGTCGTGAAAAGTACTGGTGCAAAACAGGCAAGCTAATCCATGTATGAAAATATGTTTTATAAGCTCTGCCTGAGAGAGAAAACATTTACAAGAAAAACACCTGACTGTCTTATCTTTTAGCCATCTCAGAAAAGGTGCACAGGCTGCAACTTTGTCTGTATCAAGCTTGCCCGTCTTCCCTGAACTGCATTTGTGAGCCACTTGCATGTGCACCTGATAGACGTTTGATGGGAAAAGCTCACTGCAAACAGGGCAAGTCTTCCACTGCTTGGCCTGTTTAAGGGCTAGGCTCATTGCAGAGGCAGAGACAGAAGTCTTGGCAAGGGTATTCGTGGAAGAAGTTACTACTGCAGAGGAAGGCACAGTAGCTGGAGCCTGAGACTGCTGAGTAACTGTACTAGATTGCATCAGCTGAACAGGCATCTGAGGAGGTGGAGCTGTTGTCACCCCTCCACCCCCTGGCACAGGCAAAGCTACTGAAACTGGGGCAAGGGTATACGTAGGTATCCCATTAACTTGTCTGCCAGTTGGAATTAACTGTCGAAGGATAGGTCCTGCAGTCAGTAAAGTAGCATTCTGAGAAACTCCAGGTCTGACAGACGGGTTTACAGGAAGTACTCCTGGTGCAACAGGCTGATTGAACTGGAGAATCCCAGGTCCAACTGACTGGTTTACAGGAAGAACTCCAGGTGCAACAGGATGATTAAACTGAAGAACCCCTGGTGGGATCGCCTGGGTGACTGGAAGGACCCCAGGACCACTGGGCTGGTTCAAGCTACCAACAGGTCGGTTTACAGCAAGGACGCCAGGTGAAGAAGGCCTGTTTACAGGAACAGAGCTAGCCGCAATGGGTCTGTTCAGAGAACCAGCAGGCTGAGTTACAGGGAGAGACCCCGGCAAAACTGGACTGCCAACGGCCCTAACAGATTGATTAACAGGAAGCAGGGTAGGCCGGACAGGCCGAGTGAATGAAAGGACTCCTGGAGGAACAGTTCGACTTATGCTCCCAGGAGGCTGGTTTAGGCAGAGAATGTCAGGTCTCACTGGCTGCTTCACAGGAAGTCGATGAGAAACAAAGACTGGATGAGGAACTGCAGGCCGAAGAGTCACATTGTTCGGACCTGCTTGGCTAGGCAGTAGTGTATGACATGACTGGGCAACTGAAGCTGACGATGATGGATGTGTCAGGCTACTGGAGGCACTTGGTCCAACTGTGTTTGGGACTGCTTTTGTTGGCACCACATTCTGATTCTGATTCGCTGATGGAAGTGAAAGTTGGATACATGTAGGAGAAGGTGAACCCACTGAAGCAGTGGTAGGTATCAGCGATGGTGTGGCTCCAACTGTGGAAGGCTTGGGTGCAATACTGACGATATGCTGTGACTTTGCTTGTCCTGATTTTTTAGGCTGCACTGAAATTATAGGTCTCAATATATTCTCCAGGTCTTTGTGTACTTCAGATGTCAGGACATGGTATATTAAAGAATCCCGACTATTTGCAAAAGCATTGCACTTTTTACAGTAGTGATCAGTAAAATTCTCTTCACTTTCATCAGGCCTCTCCTCAAAGTATGTGCTTATTAGGCTTTGGAAATGGGTTACCAATACATGTTTCTTCGTATTATAGTATAATGTGTCTGTAAACTGACATTTCTGGCATATGAAGTTTACTGCATCACTCCGGAATTGTCTCATGCCACCACTCACATTATAGTTTTGAATTTTTTTCTTAGAGTGAAATATACGAAGGTGTTTCCCCACTACTTTGGAATGAGAAGCAAATGCACATTCTGGGCAAGGAACAACTAATTCTTGGTCAACTTCATCTTCATGGTAACGGTTCAAGTGGTTTTTGAAAGAAGAAAGAAATTTTGATGAGAATTTGCAGAGGCTACAGCAGTACGGATTTGTTCTGTATCTCTGAAAATCAAGAAAAAGGGGCAGTTACTTCAACTGGCATCTACAAAAGGCATATTTATGTTGATTGCCCAATAAAAATACCAAAGTTCTGAAAGCCACTATACTAATTTCAGTCAACATAAAAGTTTCTTCAGGCGATCAGAACTTTCCACATCCAAGAAAGCATTAACAAAAAGCCAACATCTTATGCATTTGTATGAACACAACTTTCTCATCACTAATATGCTTGCATAACAATACAAACTGTATGCAGAACAAGCAAAATGATGTAGATGTTTTATGTTGCTGTGCTGGCAACATAACCCCATCCCATAGCCCCATTCAAAAACTGGGTGAAAATTTGGATTCTAGCCAACACAGAAAACTACTGCTTGGTGATCAGTTAGTCACCAGGAAACAATAATACAGTTTCTTTACTCTTTGAGATCATCATTTTCAAGACCATCATTTTCTTTTCATCTTCTAATCAGTCATTATAATGGCATCCTAAAAAAATAATAATACACCAAGTTCCATGTGAACTTAAGAAAAGCATGCACACCTCTTGCTATATTGCAATCAGTTTCTAAGATCTATAGCCATCTAAGAAACAGTTTGCATTGCACAGTTGATCCCATGCTGTATCACAAAGGCTAAAAAAAATCCACTAGGTATTTACAAACCAGTGGGCTCAAACAGCATTCTGAAAACTGTAATGAATAAACATACCCTTCTTCTGGTCACAGACTCCCAAAGAGACACATCACTCCATGAAGTGTTGCAGAAATATTTTTCTCCTGGGTCAAAACTTTTCAGAGTCTACAAAAAAAACCAAAGATTTCTAAAACAGCATGCAACTAAAAGAAAACCCTATTTTATACAATTCTAAGTCAATAAGTTCATTATGTTGGATATAAACTGCAGGCTGTATCCAATGCTTCTGCTCCACTCACTCACAACACCTCCCTTGCACAACAGGACTCCCCCCTGCCCTGCAGTCCCAAAACACCAGCAAAAACTGCTCCAGAGAGTTGGTGGACCCTCTGAAGCAGATTTTAGGGGCTAGTGAGTAGAGGCGGCACAAGCACAGCTCTACTCACACAATACTGGATACAACCTCAAAATTAAAATTGTAATTTGAAAAATATATATGCTATGTTGCCTTTTTCCAATAGTGGATTTCAAAGTGTGGTAAAGTTGGTGAGCTTATCAGATCTTAAGGCTTCCCCACACTACTTACTTCTGTGTGGGTAATCTACAGATGACACTGAGCGTGGAAGGTATTAACCCAAGCTATAGAGTCTCACAGCTAGAGTTTTCTTTACAGCTTGTCTCCCCTGCCTTTCCAACTTTGTTCAGATTTCAAGTTTAATACTTCTATATCAAGTGTAGTTTATGCAATTTGAAAGTTTTAAATATTTGCAATTAATTGGGCTAGACTTTTAAAATGCACAATTTCTGGTGTATCTGAACAAGCTTTGCTTGTCAAGAAACTATAGTCATATCTCTGAAGTTAAAGTTCTGTGTGTTTGATGTAATGAAGTGCCCTGATGGAATGTGTGTTTGTGACTGACCTTGATTTCATGTTTTTTTTTAAAAAATAATAACTAAAAAACCCCTATGCATAATCTTTAATAAACCAGCGAGCTTCAAAGGCAACCTAGCCAGATGGATGGGGTATAAATAATAGTAATATGAAAATGAAAAACAACTTGGGGGAACTTCAATTTTTCCTAAAAGAGCAAACAATATTTTGCTCATCTGCTTGGTGCAAACTTTTAAGACTATCAACTTCTGTAAACAAAAAAGCAGGATATAGTGACAAATCATGGCAACAATGCATGGAAGGGTAGGTTTTCACTTCATAGCAATGAACTAGCCAGTAACTAGGGGTGGAGCAACAGCAATATGTGCGTGATACCACAACAAAGCCAGGCACAGCTATCTGAATTGCTATACACATTTACAATGTGGCCCCGTTAGCTACATGTTAACTTAGTCATCTGTATTCACACTGTGTGTATGTTGTTTCCAGACTCTACAACATCGCCACCAGCTTCTGCTGCTTTTACACAGCAAAAAATACAATTCTATTCTTGCTTTACTTTCCCCTCAGTCTTTCCAAAATTCAGAAAACCATTAAAATATTATTTATCATGCACAACAAATAGTCAAAGCAAAACAATGACTAATACTCCTGCACAAATTCACCAGAAACTCATGCCAACCTCCTGTTAAAGTGTTGGTTTAATTAGTGAGGAAAGAGCTTTCTCATTGCTGAGATGCACCTGGCTAAATCTGGTGACTTCCCTATTAGTGTTACTGGGTAGATTGAACTTTGTGTATGAAAGAGCTCAGATTACAGCACTGGTCATGGGTCGTTGGTTGTGGTCATTATCAGGAAGGAGTGGATCCCTGTGTAACTGTGGAGTTACCTGAACACTTTGAGAAGAGCTTGTCTGAGAAGACTTGGAGAATTGCCAGACTTCGGGACCAGAGGATTTTAAGTTGCTGCAGGAATAACTGCAAATTGACTTGTGTGTGGACTTTATTCAGCAAAGACTTTAAAGTACAGAAACCCCTTTGGTACCAGAAGGAGAGAAGCCTACATGTAACCTGTATATAGTGTGTAACAAGTAAAACAACTGGTTCATGTTGGTGAGCTTAACAGCTTTACTGAAGCTTCCATAGCATGCACACCGATAGCAAAATATATAGGTGTTGAAGATAAACACACACTCCAACAGCTCCCCATTAGCCACAAAGACAAAATTATCTGAGCAAAGTCCTACTAGCCCTTTATCCAGAAGGAAGCCTAGTCAAATCTATGCTACCAGTGCCATAAAGACACACTTCCTCTTTCCCATTCTTTTCTCACAATAAAAAAGGAAACAGGAATGCCCAGTCTTTTTAACTGACATGTGCATTCCCACTCCAAGTGAGAGTAGGGTGACTGTATTTGAAGTAATCATGCTTTTAAATCTTATGTTTTGAGCTTCACAGCCTCAGATTAATGTACCCAATGCCAATTTGCTTGAATCTGTAAGCTAAACAAAGATCTCTCATTCCATTCATATTTTCATGTGACCTATCATAGTTGGTCTTTTTTCTAGCTTTACAGGTGTTGAAGGAGTTGTGTATTCTGTAAATACTGTTTCTTGACAAGCCAAACTAGTATATTAGTACTTCCTACTTCTGTGCAAACCAAAGCTTTCACCTACTTCTGTTTATTTTAAGAAAAATAGACACATGAAATATATCAAGTCATGTTTCATAGGATGTAAGAGTCATCCTAAATGAAATATGAGAAAAATGTATTAAATAAATAAATAAATAACTGAAGAGTTCCAATCTGCAAACATCTCTCTCAAAAAGAGTCAATATGCATGCTACCACTAAATCCCCAAATTGAATCCTATAAAAAGACAGTTGCAGACCTATGATCACTCACACAGTGAATTACAGAGGATCTCATGATGTTTTACTCATGGACAATTGTACTGGAATTGGTTTTCCACTCCTCTTTTCAACCAATATTTCCACACTTATAAGACTCATGAGCTCACTTAAGAAGAATGACAATAGAGAACTATAAGGGTCTTACCTGAAGTAACTCCTGGCAGCTGTCAAGCCCAATATCCTTTAGAATACCCTTTACTTTCTTCCGAGCCTTCCTTATATTATCAAGATTTTGCACAGGAATTTGAAGCATGTTGAATTTTGCCTAGAAAACAAGGTGACACAACATATATACATCATTTCGTTAAATGTAATATTTCAAATTATGCTTATGCGTTTAGAAAATTCAGATTAAACTAACTTTCATTACTGAGTATTTCAACAAATGAGTATATTTGTAGATTTTGCACTTTCTGTGGCAGACAACAGATAATACACATGCAGCTATATTTATCACAGGAAGGTTGCAATTCCTGAACAGACTTCCCTGGGAGTAAGTGCCACTGAACAGAATAAAAATACAGTAGCACTACCTGTACACAGGGTGGATTTGATTTAAATCAAATTGATTTAAATCACTAGTTAGTAAGATTTGATTTAAACCATTTTTTTACAGAAAGCCTCATTCCTGCTGATATAATCTTAATATTTACAACCAGATGAAGGTTTCATTTTTGGAATAATAAATTTTCAGAGTAATTTTTACAGTTATATCAAAAATTACTGATTTGGTTATACTATTAGAAAAACAAAGACAGGTAATTATAAAATTATTGTTTATATTTGGACAACTTTTCTGCTGTACTTTATTGGAAGGAGAAAAATAATTTCCTTAATAACAATTTAAACAATTTATTTAACTAAAACAATAACACTATAGCATATGTATCCATGTTTTTTAACTGATGTGGTTAAACGATTAAAAAAAAACAGACTGAGTTTTAGCACACATGAAAAACTTAAAACAAATCCTTATTTCCTGATGAATAGCCTTTGGACTATAATGCAACTTAAATAGCAAACTATCTTTAGAAAGCTTTTTCCTCCAAAAGCATTTTATTTTAAAAATCTGATTTAAATCAAAGAAATCTGATTTAAATAAAAAAGCCTGATTTAAATAATTAAAAAATCATTTATTTTTATCCACCCTGCCTGTACACGAATGCTACTGCTCAAGTTCTTTATTACTGAAGAGGTGCAATTCTGCTGTTCAAATATTAGCAAGAGAACCCAAATATAAAATTCCAAGTGGAGACCACCAGAAAACTTCAGTATTTTCCTTCCAGCATCTATTTGTCTGAAAAAGTTGCTCAAAGTACTGAGTTACTGAAATGTAAGTAGTAATTTGTATTACGAGTTTAGAAGCTAAACTTAAGGTGTGAATTTCAGATACACACCTCTTTAGTTTGATTGCTATACACTGCCAAGTGATATGTCACAATACTAGCTGACAAAATAGCTACATCTTTCAAGACATATGATGTGCATGCTATGCAACACCACCACCAAACAATGCATAAGGCAAACACAGTTACAGCCAGAAAGCCATACTACCTCACTACCCACTGTGTTCCCTAATAGGTATATAACAACCTTCAGAGCCAACTGCTACTTGCAAGAGCAAAATCATACCAGGTCCTCAGTGGGAACCCCCCCATGCACCCCCAGCTTTGAAAACATACTATGGTAAGTATCACATGCACTTTCAAGTTTCTACCTATTCAAGAGATAAGTTAAGAGATGTTAAGATTTTGGGGGGTACCTAGTAATATAATCCCAAGATGCAGAACATCCAAAATGCTATGACAAGGTCATTCGTCTGTTTATAAGAGTACAGTGGAACCTTGGTTCTCAAACTTAATTCGTTCTGAGAGTCCATTCAACTCCCAAAAATATTCAAAAACCAAGGCACGGCTTCCAATTAGCTGCAGGAGCTTCCTGCACTCAAATGGAAGCCGCGTTGGACATTCGGCTTCCGAAAAACGTTCAAAACCCGGAACACTTATTTCTGGGTTTTCAGTGTTCAGGAGCCAAATTGAATGAGTACCAAGGTGTTCGAGAACCAAGGTATACCAGAATGTAATTACCTGATGCAAAACTGAAAGCAACAGAAACTGCTATACCTCCGAGACTGTAAGCACGGGCTGAGACACTTTTCAGTTGGCAAGTAAAAAATAATACCATCAACTGACTACAATAAAATATTCCATGAAGCCAAGAATGTTCTTTTGTATGTGGTGACTTCTAAAAACTGATAAGGGTGTCATTTGAAAGCTTAGTATTAAGAGGTTTTTTTATATGGATGTTTCAAGCACTTCTTTTTCCAAAGAACAGATTGTTCAATGATGCATTTGTAGTAGCTGCATTAAATATTCCAACCAGAATGACATCCAGTGTCTAACCATCTTCTCTAACTCAATGTGATGGGCATGGTAACTTACTTCCTGTATAATAAAGCCAGCCTATGATTCTTCTCTCGTAACTGCTTGCCTTTAACCTTAAGTTCCAATTTATTGTACACAAATAAGATATAACCACCTTGTATTGAATTACTCGTCATGGGTGACCAGGAATTCCATGCAGGCATTCATGGAACTTCATCCAGGTGAGGGAACAGGCTGGTGAAGGGGTACAAATCACTGTGTGCCTCTTCTGTCAGCTCATCCATCTTCTATGCTAGGAAACAAAGTACCTTCCTCCTAGGCTAGCATGGAAACGCAAGAGGATCAGAGAAATTGCTCTGTCCATGCTCCATCAACACACTCAGCTTCCACAACAGCTGTGGTGTGGAGGAAGCAAAGTCCCTTCCTTCCTGACCAGTACAGCAATATCCACAGTCCAATGAGGAACCCATGAATTGCTCCAATCCTTTTAAAAAAGCCATTGCCACATCTTAATTTTAAAAACTTACATCCTATGCTTCCATCGCAGTCACAATAGTGTGACAGTGAATTCTGTAAGATAACATGTTGCCTTAATTATTTACTGTTTTACCCTCAGCCTAGTAGAAATCAATTTCATCAGGTGACTCCAAGTTCAATTTCCCCCACCATTTCTAATTTTATAAGCTATCAATGTTCAGGTTTTTCTTATTTTTGTTCAGTGCTAGCCACAAGTTATTCATTATTCAGCTAACACATTTTTTGCAAAAGCCATATCGCGGCATAATCAGAGGATGAAACGCACATACAAACAGAAGACTGCAATGCTAAATAGCCAGTGTGGTAGGATTCCAGCAGGTGGAAGAAGCAGGCAAAGTTTCCAGTGCAACTGGGTGCAACCAAAGCTTTCAAAACATATCCAGCGCCATGCATGTACTTCTTCCCTTTCCATCCCCTGAGCATGCTGTGGCTACTTAGAACTGTTGTCTAAGAGAACACCACATTGCATTGGTACGCGAGTAACTGCCATGCATAAGCTTGTTAACTGTGCTATGCACAGCTGCTTACTTAGCCAGGGTGGTGTAGTGGTTAAGAGTGGTAGACTCGTAATCTGGTGAACCGCTCCTCCACATGCAGCTGCTGGGTGACCTTGGGCTAGTCACACTTCTCCGAAGTCTCTCAGCCCCTCACCTCACAGAGTGTTTGTTGTGGAGGAGGAAGGGAAAGGAGAATGTTAGCCACTTTGAGATTCCTTTGGGTAGTGATAAAGCAGGATATTGAATCCAAACTCTTCTTAGCAGTATCAGACTGGAGCTGACAAAAGTCAAAACAAGGAACCTTCCCACAGTGCAGCCCACCACATACATGCCTGCTCTCCATCTTGAACCATGTGCCAGGCTCCTCTTGAACTCTGTTCCTGGGATACATGCTTGCTGCCTGAGCTTTCATAGGTAAGGAGACAAAAGTGTCTATGTTTGGCCTGGGAGCACTGAGATGGAAGGTAAGCTGTGCCTACTGGAACAAAGAACTTTCTCCTCCTTTGTTTCTCTTGTCTGCATTTATTTGGAAAGCGTGTGAGACAAAGTCATGAGACAAAGATCTCACCTTCTTCTGACTCAGGGTCTTGCCTCTGATGTAGCCCCCTAAAACTGTGGACCTCTGAGCACATAGAGGGACATGCCCACCATAAATCTACATCTTCAGCTGCTTCAGGATCAGATCACTATAGAGCTTGTATGCAAGACCTGGACTGGAGCTGCTCCTGACCCTAGTGAACTGGAAAACATAATTCCTGGACTGGACTGCTCCACTTTATACATGATACATAATTTGGTTTGCTCACCACTTTCTCATGTCAGAACAACATAGTCAACATGAGACAGAAAATATTGTGCTTTATTTTTCCATGAAAAATGTTCTGCTTCATAGGCTCAATAGTAACAGTTATCCCTTAAAATATGTTAGGCAAGCAAAGTTTTTAACCATTGTTTACTATATACATATAAAATAAATAAGCATACTAAATTAGAATTCTCTAGGAAATCAGAAAAAAAATTCCATGGAAACTGAAAATATTCCAATACAAATTCCACTATGTTAATTAGGCTAATTTGCATTGGAAGAAATTCCATTCCAAAACTTTCCAGAAAATCTACATCACTGAATATTAAGAGCCAAAGAGCTGACACAGATAAATGACCTAAGTTTGAGCAGCAGTGGAGTTACAAGACCAAGACCAAAAGAACCATAAGGAAATTTTACATTTACATCAGTGCACAGGAGAGAACTTCACTTCACTCAAAGCCTTCCCTTGGCTACAATTCCAATTGCTGAAACGATAATCTGTCATAGAACATGAATGGTGTTTTGTCTCTTAAGCAGCAAAATTCCAGCCATGACAGATCTCTCCTGTTCTTCCTTGTTTCAAGATCATGATCTGAAGAACAATTCTGTGCACAACTACATTTGAAAGCCTCTCCAGTTTCATCTTAAAATGTGAAGATGCATTAAACAATTTTTAAAAAACTAATATAAGGCAATCAAGATTGCATATTCAAGCCATCTGTCATGGATGCTTTAGCTGAGATTCCTGCATTGCAGGGGGTTGGACCATATGACCCTCAGTCTTTCCAACTCTACAATTCTATCATTAACCCGGCATCATTCAGCATGTCTACTCTGGACTAAACACTCAGGCCAAGACAGCAATGACAACACTGCTGACTAGGAGAGGCAACAAACACACTAATTTTTCTTTAAAAGACTACATTGATACACCTGCCTGCAGAAATAAGAAGTTTCCACATAGAATTTATGAGCGCCTACATCAGTTTACTACATCAGCTGAAGAGAAGGGCAGAGGCTGGAGAAATAACTTTTGAGTGGATGAGTGTCCTTTTCCCATCCTCAGCACCCCCTGGGAAATTCACCAAACCTACTGCACCTGGAGCCAGGTGCGGTAATAGGTAAAGGTAAAGGGACCCCTGACCATTAGGTCCAGTCGTGGCTGACTCTGGGGTTGCGGCGCTCATCTCGCTTTACTAACCGAGGGAGCCGGCGTACAGCTTCCGGGTCATGTGGCCAGCATGACTAAGCCGCTTCTGGCGAACCAGAACAGCACACGGAAACGCCGTTTACCTTCCCGCCAGAGCAGTACCTATTTATCTACTTGCACTTTGACGTGCTTTCAAACTGCTAGGTTGACAGGAGCCCACCTTGGTACCTGCCTATAAATGCAAGCCCTGCCCAAGAGACAATAAAGAAGCTGCAGGAGAAAGGGCAGAGGCTGGAGAAGGAACTGTGAATGGAGGGGTGGCTTATTTGTATCAGCAATTATTTGTTAACTGTATTTCTGTAAACTGTTAATTGCATTAATGCAATTATTTGTTAAATGTATTTCTGTATTATTTATTGTTCGTTGCTGTTTCAGTTTACAGTACTTCATTTGAGAGATTTTTTTAATATATTAAGCTGCATATAAATGGAGTAAAGAAAAAAATAGTGCTTTAGTAAGAAGATAAAGAGGGCAAAATCCCAGAAACAAAATGTGTCTGAGCTGCAAAGTGTTACCTCTCTCATTTTCCTTCTCACTTGTATGTGAGCACAGGACTTCTTCCCTCTTCTCTTGTACTGTCTCCTCTGCACCTTTGGTTATCCTGCCTTTCCTGATGATCTCCCTTTCTTAATCTAAGTGTGGGCCAGGCACACATTTGAAAGGGAGTCGAGTTCAAGCCTTTACAAGCCTAAAATGTCAGATTTCTCCAGCTGCCATATGGTTAGCCACTATGACCAAAGAGAGGCATGCACTTCTAAGGCCATACAGACACATGACTTTGTGAAAAAGGTTATGGATTCCAGTTCTCAGTGGAATATGAGTTCTCTCACAGACTCATCCATTTGTGCATGGAAATACAGATCACTTGCTGGAAACAGACCAATCACACATACAGTACCACAGTGACTATTAAATGCAGGATCCTAAAATGTGCAACGCTATCAACCGACCCTCAAGTATTGGGACCAGAAAAGTACCACACTAGCCAGCCACCACTCTATAAACAGCCTCGACAGCTTGCTCCAGTCCATCTCTGTAACTCAAACCCCGTTAATGCACTTCCTAAAAAAATCACAACCTTAAGCAACCGGTTTAGTATTCAAAAATGATTTTTTATTAAAAAAAATGGATCTAGCTTTGGCCACCCCCCAACGAAGCAGTCGAGAGTTTACAGGCTTCCTGAAATCATTGATGTTTCACATGAAGGAGAGCGGCAGAGCTGGTGCTGTTAAACGCATAATAATAATAATAATAATAATAATAATAATAATAATAATAATAATAATAATGCTGCAAACCCGAATGCCTCACGACATTCCATCCTCCCTAGCCGCCGAGGAACCCCCGGACCTTATTTAAGCCCCTCAGCTATTAGAGCTGGTGGCAGCGCGGGGGAGCAGCGAGCAGGCTGAGGGAAGAAGCCCTTTCTTCCCTTCGCGGCTTTCCCCCCCTCCGCTCCCGCGGAAGGGAAGGCGGGCTTCCCCACGAGGCTGGGGTTGCCCTCTGGCTGTGGCTTGGCTGGCAGCGCACCGAGGCGGCTCCTGCCAAGGCGGCCTGAGGAGGGCGGAGGCCGCCCTGGGCACCAGAGAGCCCGGGCTCAGCAAAGCGCCGCAATGTTGCACCTACCTGTCCGGGCGGCAGGGGGAGCCCGCTGCCTGCCCGCCGGTTCTTGCGCTCGCGCCTCCCTGAGGCGCTTGGACGCGTTGCAGCCTCCGGCGCCGCCTCCTCCCGCGGCCGCTTGCTTGGTCGTCCGGCTGCTCGGTCACTCCTTCCGCGGCCGCCCCGCCCTGCCCCGCCTCCCGGTCTCGACCTGCAGCCCGCGCTCAGTGGCCCAGCAGGACGGGCAGCGGCGGCGGCAGCAGTACCAGGAGCAGCCGCAGCATCCTCGCCCCGACCGCTCGCCCTGCAGCGTCGGACCGGGCGCCCCGCTCAGCCCCACTGAGCCCGCGCTCCCATCCACCCACCTCCGGCTGCTACTCCTCCCTCCTTCTCAAGCCAGAAAGAGAAAATGGCGCTCGATTTGTCCAAGGAAGTGACGTCGGCCCTCATTTGCATGCCAGTCGGTGGACCAATAGGGAGGCGCGTGGTCCAGGGTTCCCATTGGTTCCCTCCATCAGCACCAACTCTCCAGGAAGGATGGTGGGGCTTCTTGGGAGCGCTCTGGGAGTGCTATAGAGGTGTCCCCCACCCTTAAACTACTCACCTGTGCCCTCCAGTTCCCTTCCCTTACTCTGGCACAACTCCTGGAACAACTCCGAAGTGGAAACTCCCGCGTGATTTCGTGCTATGACGTCATTTTCAAGGGGGCGTGGCGCTGTGACGTCATATCATGTGATGCCACCACGTGGCCATGCAGTATTTCCCTAGCATATTTGCACAGAATGTTGTGGAAGCCTTGTTTGCAATCAGTATGTTGGTGAAATCCCACCTTACAGCAGCCAATGAAATGCTGACATGTCAAAAAGCTTTGCATCTCATTGCATGAGGGAACCACTGAAGCCTCTGAGGGAAAGTGTTTCACAAGGTTCACACTTTTCAACAGCATATACACCTTGACATACAAAAAAATGAGGAATACTCTTTCCTCAGAGTATTCCTCAAAGAGCAGGAAGAAGGATAAACTAGATTGTCTATCATAACTTCATAATAAGATTGTTCATGAGCCTTAGGAACCATTGTGAAATGTTAATGAGGACCACTATATGATAGATGGAACCACCAACCAATAAATGCAACTAGAGCAGAACACAGACCAATCCTTGTGGAGCATCTCAGCCTAGTTCTTACTAGGCAAATTAATATTTTATATCTTTCTTGGTCTTGGGTCTTTTAAGGTCTTGGGTTTTCCCAATGTAGAGCTCCAACTTTCCTTCTTAGCCTAATGTGCTGATCTGTTGAAGAATTGCTAATCTAAGTGACAGCAACAAAATAGGACTTTCATGATTCTGTCTACCCAATGTGCAGGAAAATTTTTTGGGGGTGACTGTATAATATATATTTGAAATATGGTGTCAGTATTGTGATAATACAATGGCAAGAGGTAAGCAAGTTCCATTGTAATTAAACATATTATAGGCAACAGAAGAGGTAGCCAACATGGGGCTCTCCATGTGGTGTTGGGCTCCCATCAATCTCAGCCAAGGATGGTCATGGATGGTGGTCAACAATATCACTTTGACTATACCTTGGCAATAGTACACTTGGTGCTGTTTGGAACATGGAACACTGAACTACCTGTATAGGTTACTTCCCATGAAACTCATGTTATTTCCCATTCATGTGCTATTGTTTACACACGTTGTTAAAGAGATGCAGGATCAGCCCATGCAGAAACAGCTTCCACACTTCAAAGAGATCATTTGGAACAGACTGAGACCCTACCTGCCTGTGCAGTGTCTCGCCAGGGTGGTACATGCTCTGGTTATCTCCCACTTGACTTCTGCAATGCACTCAACGTGGGGCTACCTTTGAAAGTTACTTGGAAACTACAACTAATCCAGAATGTGGCAGCTAGACTGGTGACTGGGAGTGGCTGCCAAGACCATATAGCACTGGTCCTAAAGGATCTACACTGACTCCCAGTACATTTCCAAACACAATTCAAAGTGTTGGTGCTGACATTTAAAGCCCTAAAAAGCCTCGACCCAGTATACCTGAAGGAGCGTCTCCACCCCCATCATACAGCCTAGACACTGAGGTCCAGCTCCAAGGGCTTTTTGACAGTTTCTTCACTGCGAGAAGTGAAGTTACGGGGAACCAAGGCAGAAGGGCTTCTGAGTAGTAGCGCCTACCCTGTGGAATGCCCTCCCATCAGATGTCAAAGAGCTAAATAACTACAGTATACAACTTTTAGGAGACATATGAAGGCAGCCCTGTATAGGGACATTTTTAATGTTTGATGTTTTATTATGCTTTTATATTTGTTGGAAGCCACACAGAGTGGCTGGGGCAACCCAGTCAGATGGGCAGGGTATTACTACTACTACTACTACTACTACTACTACTACTACTACTACTACTACAGTACAGTCATACCTCAGGTTACAGACGCTTCAGGTTGTGCGTTTTTGGGATACGGACGTGCTGAAACCCAGAAGTACCAGAACAGGTTACTTCCTGGTTTCGGCGCTTGTGCAGAAGCACTAAATCACGCTTTGTGCATGCGCAGAAGCGCCGAATTGCAAGCTGCGCATGTGCAGATGGGTTGTGAACGTGCCTCCCACACGGATCACGTTTGCAACCCGAGCATCCACTGTACTACTACAATAATAATAGATTGTAGTTGGGGATGAGAACTGGGCAGCTTTAAATAAGGACTAAGCACCTGAACTTGATTCAGAGAGTGGCAAATAACTTTTCAAACACTTGAAAACAAAACATGATGACAGTAGGGTTGTATTTCAGACTGAGACTGCCTTGCTTGTCTGGGTTAATGACCTTTGTCAGCAGAAAAACAGGAATATGACCCTACTATTTCTCCTGGATCCCTTAGATGGTTTTGATACCACTGATGATGGTATTCTTCTGTCTGACATGTATTGGGCATTGGAGGGCACTATTTTGCAGTCATGCAGCTCCTACCTGATCAGAAGATTCCAGAAAACAATGATGGGAAGACATTATTTCCCAATGAGCCTTGTTCACAGTGTCCTGCAGGGATCTATTCTGTCTCCCATGCTTATATGTTCATGAAACTACTAGCAGAGGCAATCTGGAGTGGGTTGTCCTTGTAACGCTAACAACACCAAGCTCTCTTTCTCCTTTCCATCTGAACCAGATGTCTTCCTTGAACATCTGGTTGGTGTCAGAAGCAGACTAGACCAAAGTAAACACAGTGAAATGTACTCCAGAGAAGTTGCAGATACTAACAATGGATGGTTCTAAAATCAAAGAAGTGGTAGAATGGTCTGTCCTGTATGGAATCACACTCCCACTGAAAGAACAAGTTCACAGGCTGGAAGGAAGCCTTGAATACAGGGTTCTGCTTTTTCAGGTGAAGGCTGTGGCTAAGCTTGCATCTATCACTTCTATGCTTTTCTGGAAAAGAGAGACCTTGCAACTGCATGCCCTGGTGACCTCTTGATTGGACTATGCTACTGTGCTCCACGGAGGACACCCCATGAAAGCACTTCTAAAAGTTCAGTTCAGCAAAAATGTGTCAACAAGTCTGGTGAAGTGGTAGCCACCAGGAGCATTAATACTACACGTGTTCCACTGGTTTCCAATCTGTTTGGGGCTACTTTCACAGCACCAGCAGTTCTTACATTTGAAGCCCTATACTGTGTAATTTCTGTTTGCTTGATGGCATGGCCTACTTCCATATGTATCTCCATGATCATCAAGGCCCAGTAATTAATCTCTGCTGAAGGTGCTGCTGCTTTGAGAAACTAGGTTGTCCTTGACAACTAAAAGAATGTTCTCTCTTGCTGCCCCATGTTTATGGAATTTGTTACGGCTGAAGATTCATCAGATATGAGAACTTAGCCCATTCATATGGACAATTAAGTATAATTGAGCTGTAGTTCATTGTATCATTCTCCTTGCTGGTAACATAATAATGCTGATTTATTTTTGTATTTTTCTTTGGATGTTGTACTGTATCTATTTTGTTTTTGCTGTTGTTAATGTTTTTTGCTTTGAGAATTCATTGGCATGAAAAGTGCATTTTAAATACTTAACATAAATCATAAGGTAAAGGGACCCCTGACCATTAGGTCCAGTCGTGGCCGACTCTGGGGTTGCGGCGCTCATATCGCTTTATTGGCTGAGGGAGCCGGCGTACAGCTTCCGGGTCATGTGGCCAGCATGACTAAGCCGCTTCTGGCGAACCAGAGCAGCGCACGGAAACGCCGTTTACCTTCCTGTCGGAGCAGAACCTATTTATCTACTTGCACTTTTGACGTGCTTTCGAACTGCTAGGTTGGCAAGAGCAGGGACCGAGCAATGGGAGCTCACCCCGTCGCGGGGATTCGAACCGCTGACCTTCTGATCGGGAAGTCCTAGGCTCTGTGGTTTAACCCACAGCGCCACCCGCGTCCCAAACATAAATCATAGTATCATAGAATTGTAGTTAGAAGAAACCCCAAGGGTCATCTAGTCCAATCCCCTGCAATGCAGAGATCTCAACTAGATCATACAAGACAGATAGCCATCCAACCTCTGCTTAAAATCTCCAAGGAAGGAGTCTGCCACCTCTCATGGGAGTCTGCTCCACTGTCGAACAGCTCTTACTCTCAGAAAGTTCTTGATGTTTAGTCAGAATCTCCTTTCTTGTAACTTGAATCCATTGGTTCAGGTCCTACCCTCCAGAGCAGAAGAAAACAAGCTTGCTTTATCTTACATGGTAGCCCTTTAGATATCTGAAGATGGCTATCATCTCTCCTCTCAATCTCCTCTTTACCAGGCGAAACATACCCAGTTCCCTCAACTGATCCTCATATGGCTTGGTTTCCAGACCCTTGATCTTGGTCACCCGCCTCTGCACACATTCCAGCTTGTCAGTATCTTTAAATTGTGGCACCCAGAACTGGACACAGTACTCCAGGTGCGGTAGGACTCTAGACATATGTTGATGCTGCCTAGAATAGCATCCAATTTTTTTGCTCCTGCATCACACTGTTGACGCATGCTAAACTTGTGGTCTACTAAGACCTCTCAATCAATCCTTTTCACATACAGTATAGTGGACGCTCGTTGCGAACGTGATCTGTGCGGGAGGCACGTTCACAACCTGCAGCGTCCGCAACCTGCAGCACCGCATCTGCGCACACACGGGTTGCGATTCAGCACTTCTGCACATGCGTGAGCACCGAAACCCGGAAGTAACTCGCTCCGGTACTTCTGGATTTCGGCACGTCCATATCCCGAAAACGTGCAATCTGAAGCATCTGTAACCCGAGGTATGCCTATACTTGCAACAGGTGGCACTTAATAGTCTCCCTTATACCGAGTCGGTCATCTAGCTACTTCTGTTGACTCGAAATACCTCTTCAGGGTTTCAGACAGGAGTCTATCCATCCCTTCACGGAGATGTCAGGACTGGACCTTTGGTGTGCATTAAGCTCGTAAGAGCATAAGAATAAACTACTGGGCCAGGCCAAAGACACATATAGTCCAGCCCTCTGTTAGCCAGGTGCTCAAGGAAAGCTTGCAAGCAGAACCTGGGCACAGCAGAGCTCTCCTGCAATTCTCAACAGCTAGTATTCAGAGACCTACTGCATCCTGACAACAAAGACAGGACATAAACATCAAAGCTAGCAGCCCTTGATAGCTTTATGACTCTTTAGTAAATGAAGAGTTCACTATCTAAACTTGATATTGTAAAACGTTATAGGCAACCTGCTGGCCTTGGCCCAATGTTGTGTGGATGGAAGGAAAAAATGGGAGACAGCCGACTTTGACATTTGGGTCTGTCTGCTGCCAGCACACAGTCAGCGACAGTGTGATCCCCATTCCCTGGGTCAGGCAGCCCTTGACAGAAGGTTCCTCCCCCCCCCCCCTTGGTAGAAGCACATCACACTGACTTTCACCACATCAAACGCGAAACCTGATGAGTCTGTCTTTGCACATTACAAGCAACAGACAGCATAAAAATTCAACACTGAAATATCCATCACTTATAAAGCTCCCATCTCAGAGCGGCGGCTAGATTGGGAATTACCTTTTTGGAAAAGAAAAGTATGGGCTGCTCCTCCTTTAATTGCACTCTGTGTCTCCCAGGAACAATGTTGCAGCAAGACCAGCCTGGCTTTATCCGTTAGCCAGGGATACAGCTGTTGCAGGGAGCTTGTATCCCCAGTCCCTGCCAGAAAGAATCTTTACCCCTGCCAGTTGTCCTGGAGCTTCAGAGCTGAAGGGAAACATGCTCTGGCCTCCTCCATTAACCAAGGCAGGGATCGGGTTCCTGATCTGGCTGGTGGAGCCAGTCGCTCCTTAGCTCCCCTACCCTGTGTGGACCAAGTGTGACATGTGGGCAGTGCAGCCAACCTGCCAATCACCTGAGACCACAAAGATGCTGGGACTTCAAAGCACCACTGATCCGTAGGCTTGGTCACTTCAACCCTGGGTGGCTTCAACCCTGCTTTTCTCAGGCAGGAATTGGCAGCACAAGCAATCAAGTTCCTCATGGGGGAACCAGCTCATCAAGTGACATCTCTGCCTGCCTCATATTTATCGTATTATATAGTTTATTTATTATTTATTTATTTATTATTTATTAGATATCCTCCCTTCATCTGAGGATCACAGGACAGTTCACAATATAAAAACACAAAAATACTTACCACAGTAACAAACAAAAATAATAACCCCCCATCTCAGTTTAAAAGGTTTAATTAGCCAAAGGCCTAGGAGAAGAGGAATCTTTTTGCCTGCTGCCTAAAGATAGGCAATGAGTGTGCCAAGGAGCCTCCCTGGGGAGCCACCACAGAAAAGGCCCGTTCTCGAGTTGCTGCCCTTTGGAACTCTCATGATGATCACCTCATATGGTGATCCAAGGGCCCAGTTTCGTTGATATGGGGAGAGGCAGTCACATATACCATCAGGAGTGGGGCAAGTGGGTGTGGTTTGAGGAAAACAGCTTCACGAGTGATACTGGGACCCATGCCAGGTCAAATTTAGCCTGCAGACTGGAGGTTCCCTGACCATGAACTATTGGACTGTGTGTATATGTGTGTCTACTATTACTATGGTGAGCTGCCTTGATCATGTGATCGAAAAGCGGGGTATAAATTTTATACAAAAATCAATATGAAAAGTGGCAAAACCTATTTTCTTCCCCCAGCATATTTTGCAGCATTCTATTGCTTTTAAGCTCTTTCTGCACACGCTGGTTCCAATGCCACAGATAAACTGGACAGGGAACCAACTGCTTAAGTTTATGGAGTTGTGGTAAATAAGAGCAAAGTGTTGTCCTGAACATCTAGACTGGCCTGAAGAATTAGTGCAGGTATGTTTCTGCCAAGCTGAGAATCATGCCAGTGTTTCCAAGCAACTGGTATTCAACTGGTATGATCCACCTCCCTGTGATGGGGAGGTGGATCATAGCCATGCTGGCTAGTAGCCACTGACAGCATGACATTTTTTTTGTCCAGCCAGGTGTATCCAAATTGTGCCACACCTACAAAGCAAAGAAAGGCGGCAATGAGAATACCTATAAGGGCAGTTCTCTGGTTCTGGTTAACAGAAGTTCTCTGGATGATCCATTTGATGAGCTCTATTTTATTCACACCAAGTCAGGGCAAGCTGTCAGGACAGCAGAGCTCCTAAGCTGGTGGAGCTTCTTTGCCAGCTCTTCCTCCCGCAGCTCCCCTATTCAGACCATTCAGAATGCCTCTGCTGAAGACGACTGTCCAGAGGTTTTTTCCCAGCCAGAATTCAGTTCCGTCACCTCTCAAGTAGGTGCCATTGCCATTATAAGAGAATAAGGGAAGTGTTCATGGTGAGCTCAATATATTCAACATAAACAAAATATTCAATACAGCTCAATTATACTTGAGATGTTAAAACCCTGCTTGAAAAGAAAAGCTTTAATTGTCCATATGAATGGGCAAATTCTCATATCTGATAAATCTTTAGCCGTAACAAATTCCATAAACACGGGGCAGCACAATGGTGCATACATGGGGCTTGTCTTGCCATGATAATGAACGGCTCCAGTCACCTCAGACTTCATGCAAACAATATATTCAAAATGCAAACTTAGCACTGCAAATTCACCCAGAGTTCATGCCAACATATCAACAAATAACATGAGGATATGAAATATGTAGTCATGTAGAAGAAATGCATTTAAGAAAAATGGTTATTCCCTCATGTCCACTAACAGGACTTCTTGTGGTTATTTCAGAGCTAAATTTCAGAGCAATTTTAAAAGCGATCCTTTATGCAAGTTTCAACATGTTTAATGCAATTATAATAGACAAGCAGAGCATTCTTACAATACTTTATATACACAATGTTTTATGTGACAGATGTGCAGGAGTGAAATGCAGGTATATTAGAGGAAGTGATCATCCTAATGAGATTGCTTAACATTTAAAACAGAATATACATGTTCTTTCAATCACCAAGCAAAAGAATGAAGAAGAATACAAGCAATTTTAAAACCAATTTTTGTTTACATTTTTTTTTTGATGAACGATCTCAAAGGCATGCTTGAGAAGAGAGATTTCAAGCAAAGTTGTACAGAGCCAACCTAAATATGTCATTGGAACAGATCCATTTGTCGTTAATGTTCTTGAGAACAAACAACTGGTGAAATCCCATCACTGGATCATCATCCACCTACATTAAGAGAAGATGACATTTTAGATTCTGTATAAATATGGCCATCATGTAAACAGAAGCCCCATAGTAGTCTTAAACATAATAAAGCAAAATCCAACCAGATTTAAGCCCTTTTATGCCTCGCTGATTTTGGTGAAAAGATAAATCAGTGAAATCTTACAGTATGTCATTTTGATAACATTGTACCTTCTGTTTCATTTTATGTGGCAGATGTATTGTATAGCAACTGACACACACACTTTCCATTTTTATTGCTCGGTTTATGATATTTTAAATAAATAAAATTCTGTTCGGACGCTTTAATGTTTCAGCTTTAACACTGAGGTAGCCAAAGATTTAAATGCTTTGCACATGCCAAAGATGCAATTAATTTTCAAACTTACCTTCAGCTGACCAACAACCATACTAAGGATACAGTTGTCAGGAGCTGGCTGGTGATCTTGGGATGTTATGTTGTGCTGAATTTTTTGGAAAGGGAGTCTCTAGTACCATAAAGAGAACAAGTGTTAGACCTGCCTAGTTTACTAGATATAGAATACTAGCAACATGCAAACACATGAGAAACAGACCAAGTCAATCAGTGCTCTCCTTTCAGTTCCTCGGTTAAACTATTGGATTTAATTATTTTAAAACACTTACAGAACAGGCAGCAAGCTAGCCTTGCATGGGGTTGGACTAGATGATCCTTGGATCCCTCCCAACTCTGCGATTAACTCTGCGAACTACTGATTTTAAGTAGGAACATACCAGCAATTTTTCCATGATTGATGCTTTTCCTTGGTATTGCTGCCCTTCCCATGATAAACAAGAAGCATCTGTCTGCAAAAAGGTATACGTTACTAAAACCTATACATTAAAAAGACCAAAGAAAAGCAAAGTACCCAGGTTCAACCCCTAGGCATGATGCCTTCAGGGAGCTCCACTCCTCATCCTACTCAGCTTCCCACAATTGTCTGCACCCATCCCCAAAGTTTGGCAAAACCTATGGTAGTATTTTCTGGCTCCTTGGCTCAAACTGCAAGCACTTCACATTGGAAGGGGGCAACACTGTGACTGATAAGAAAACACACTATTATGCCTAAAATATTTGGAAAACTTCAATCACAAGACTCTACCTTCAACTACTGATAGGAATAAAAGGAAGCTGCCCGGGATCTAAAATTTACAATATTTTGTTATTAACAAACACAAACAACAACAACAGACCCAAGTTTTGGTTAGGCACCTCAACCACATCTTAACTTTTGCTGCTTTGGCAAAGTCAATAACCCAGGACCAATGAGAAAACAAAGGTCTAAACAAAGGTAAATTGGTACATACATAAAGTGAAGCTAGCTGTTCCCTGTTGGTATCAAACTGCTGGTAATAAAGTTGTATAAAACTTGTTCCAATTTGCTCCCAAATGGGTCTTTCTGCCATTTTGCACGCCTACAAAGGGAAAACTAACATTAGGAATGTTTAATTAACAAAACCTAGACAGTCACAAGCCCACCCACAATGGAACTATGTCTGGAGGTATAAATGTAGAACGTAAGCCGGTTATTCACATTTAAGCTTAGTAGGAGTGAAAGAGTGAACATTAAAGTTGCACAAGAACTCAGATATGAAATTTTCAATTTATTGTTTTCCTTTTGCTTATCATTTGGGTAAGACAGGACAGCGGGACCTACTGCTGATAAACATGTTTAGGCTTGCCCTTGATCTTCTGGACAAACTCAGAATTAACTTGGAAACTGGTTGAACTTACTTCTAAGTAAACACATATAGGATTTGGCTACATAATCCAATGAAACTTTTCTTGGAGTAAGCTCAGCCGAATTCAGTGGGACGCCCACGTAAACATGCCTAGGATCAAGAAGTTTTTTTTTTTTTTTTAATAAATTTTTTATTGCGTTCCTTTCCATAAGTTCAAACAATCCAAACACCACAAAAACATTAAATGCAAGAAACAATTTTTCTTTTCTTTTACATTCAAAAACAAATTAAAGATCAAACCAAAAAGGGTATATAAACCATTCCATATTTGGACTTCCCCACACCCTCCGGAACTGCATTCTTTATAGTTTAATAATGTCAGCAATTTGTTACCTTGTTTCATACCTTATTGTAACTTTCAATTTGTTATGCATCCAAATTCAATATATTGTATCTTAATTTCAATACTTTTAAAATAAACATAACATGTTCAATTTAAATTGTCTCCTTTTCTTTTTTATCACTTATTTTAACATTTACTTAATCCTGTTTGCCAAAGCATAGTATTTCTAGATCATGCACTGACTTAAGATTCATATAGCTTATGATGTTTTTGCAAATAGTCTTTGAATTTTCTCCAGTCTCCCTCGATTATTTCTTCATCCAAATCTCGGATTCTGCCAGTCAGCTCAGCTAATTCCATGTAGTCCATCAACTGCGTCTGCCAATCCTCCAGCGTGGGTAAATCTTGTGTCTTCCAGTTCTTTGCGATGAGTATTCTTGCTGCTGTAGTTGCATACATAAACAAAGTTCTATCCTTCTTTAACATTTTCTGGTCCACCATACCCAGCAGGAAGGCCTCAGGTTTCTTAGAAAAGGTATACCTAAATACCTTTTTTAATTCATTGTGTATCATTTCCCAAAAGGCCTTCACTTTTGGGCAGGTCCACCAGAGATGGAAAAATGTCCCTTCTGCCTCCTTACATTTCCAACATTTATTGTCAGACAGGTGATATATTTTGGCTAGCTTGACTGGGGTCATGTACCACCGGTATACCATTTTCATAATGTTTTCCTTCAAGGCAGTACATGCCGTGAACTTCATTCCGGTGTTCCATAACCTTTCCCAGTCTTCAAACATTATGTTGTGTCCAACATCCTGTGCCCATTTTATCATGGCAGATTTAACTACCTCATCCTGTGTATTCCATTTAAGCAGCAAGTTATACATTCTCGATAAAGTCTTAGTCTTTGGTTCTAACAATTCTGTCTCTAGTTTCGATTTTTCCACCTGGAAACCCACCTTTTTATCCATTTTAAAAACCTCTTGAATTTGAGCATAATGTAACCAGTCTCGCACCTTATTTTTTAATTTGTCCTGGCTCTGCAGCTTCCAATTGTCTCCAATATTTTCTATTAATTCCCAATATTTCGGCCAATAGGCCTCCATATTGAGTCTTTTTCGGGCCTTGGCCTCCACCGGTGATAGCCACCTCGGTGTTTTGCACTCTAATAAGTCTTTATACTTCATCCAGACTGCAAAAATTGCTTTTCTGACAATGTGGTTTTTGAACAATTTATGAGCCTTAGCCTTGTCATACCATAGATATGCATGCCAACCAAAAGCATTATCAAAACCTTCCAGATCTAGGACATCAGTATTTTCCAGCAAAAACCAATCTTTCAACCAGCAGAAGGCTGCAGCTTCATAGTACAACCTTAAGTCCGGCAGGGCAAACCCCCCTCTTTCTTTTGAGTCAGTTAGTATTTTGAACTTTATTCGGGGCTTTTTGCCCTGCCAGACAAACCTAGATATGTCCTTCTGCCACTTTCCAAAACATTCCACTCTGTCCACGATCTGCAAGGTTTGAAACAAAAACAACATTTTCGGCAATACATTCATTTTTATAGCCGCAATTCTACCCAACAAGGACAGTTTCAATCTTGACCAAATTTCTAAATCTTTTTTAACTTCCAGCCAACACTTCTCATAATTGTCTTTAAATAAATTCAAGTTTTTGGAAGACAAATTAATCCCTAGATATTTCACTTTTTTGACCACATTTAATTCTGTTTCTCTCTGAAATCCCTCTGTTTCTGTAGGTGTCAAATTCTTAGTCAGAACCTTAGTTTTTTGTTTATTCAGTTTAAACCCCGCCACTCGACCAAACTCAAATATAAGTTCAAGAACTCTTTTTGTACTGGGTTCTGGCTCCTGCAGTGTCAAAACTAAGTCATCTGCAAAAGCTTTCAGTTTGTATTGTTTCACTCCGACCTCTATCCCTTGTACCCTCCGGTCCTCCCTTATCATGTTCAATAGCACCTCCAGGACTGAAATGAACAAAAGAGGGGATAGAGGGCACCCCTGTCGTGTCCCTTTTTCAATTTTGAATTCCTCCGAGACCACATTATTCACTATTAGTTTAGCTTTCTGCTCAGAATAAATTGCTTGTATTCCATTTTCAAACCCCCGTCCCACTCCCATCCCTTCCAAATTTTTCTTCATAAACAACCAAGATATGTTGTCAAATGCTTTCTCCGCATCAATGAAGATTAACACCGCCCTTGTGTTCCTGTTAGTTTGCAAAAGCTCCAAAATATCAATGATGTTCCTGGTATTCTCATATAAATGTCTACCAGGGAGAAAGCCAGCTTGATCTTTATGAATTACTTCATTTAAGACCTTTTTAAGTCTACTTGCCAGAATGTCAGCAAATATTTTGTAATCCACATTTAAGAGTGAGATGGGACGGTAGTTCTTAAGTTGGTTCTTTTCCGTTTCCACTTTCGGAATCAATGTGATGAAGGCTTCTTTCCACGACTCCGGTGTCTTCTTCCCCTCCATAATCTGGTTGCAAACCTCTAACAGAGGTTGTGTCAAGTAGTCCTTCAAAGTCTTATAATATTTAGAGGTAAGTCCATCCGGGCCTGGAGATTTGCCTAGTTGCATATTCTGAATGGCTCCTTCGATTTCCTGTGGAGTTATTGTTGAGTTCAAGATTGATCTTTTATCTTGGGTTATCTTTGGTAGTCCATTTGTCTTTAAAAATTGGTCTATCTCAGGTTCTTTCTGAGGCCCTTGTGCGTAGAGATCTTTAAAGTATCTGTGGAAGCACTTCCTAATTTCTTCTGGTTTCTGCACCATTTTTCCCTCAATCTCTAGATTTGTAACTGTATTTAGCTTCTGTCTTTTCTTCAACTGCCAAGCGAGCAGTTTTCCACACTTATTTGCTGATTCAAATGATCTTTGTTTCATCTGTTTGATTTTCCATTCGATCTCTTGATTTATCAGTTTAGAGTATTGTGCTTGATGAAATTTAATTTCTCTCAGCACCTCCTTTGACTTTGGTTTGGTTCTCAGTTTTTTCTCTCCTTGATGTATCTTCTCCAATATTTTATCCTTCTTTCCATTCCAGAGCTTTTTCTTGATTGTGTTTTGTTGAATCAGAAACCCTCTCATAACGGCTTTACTTGCGTCCCAGATCGTTCTTTTTTCTACTGTAGTATTCAAATTTATCTCAAAGTAGTCCTTTAACGTTTTTTGGGCCTTTTTCACAATCTCTTGATCTCTTAGTAAGGCGTCATTCATTCTCCATCTGAAGGAACCGGGTTGAGTTAGTCTAAGTTCTACTTTCAAGGCGTTGTGGTCGGAGCATGTTCTTGGGCAGATTTCCACCTTTCTAGTCTTAGGTGCCAGCCCTCTAGACGTCCAGATTTGGTCGATCCGTGTCCAAGACAGGTGGACCTCAGAGAAGAAGGTTCCTTCTTTACCTAGGGGGTTCTTTGTCCTCCATATGTCGATCAAGTCCAGATTCTCAGTCAGTTCAAAAAAAGTTTTGGGCAGTCTGCCATCTGATGTTAAATTTTGACTTTGAGACTTATCCATATGTGTAGACACCACTCCATTCATGTCACCCATCATTATGATGTTGTTGTAATCTATAAAGTCCAGCATGATCTAGCTGCTCTTGTTTTTCCTGAGCCACTCATCAGTCAATGTTCAAGGTCAAATTTTATTGTCCCATGGGAAAGACAGGTCCAATTTAAAAACAATCCTATGAGAGAGACTAAACATACAAAGCTGTTCCCAGGCTTTTATATTCCCAAAGTCCTCTAGGGGGAGTGTCACCAAAAGTTCAGAGAGAAGAAGGCAACTTTTCCGCCATTAAAGTCCCTGTTATGTTAAAAACACACAATAGTCCCAAAGAAGGTAACAAAAAAAAAGAGTCCTGCAGAGTACTTTTGACTTTTAACAAAGTTTCAGAAAGGTGCCTGCCATTTGTATCCACTCCAGCTTGTTTAAGCTCAAAAGTATCACTTTCATAAAAGTTTGTAACAGTTCCGCAGCAAAGACAATTTCCCCTCCGGCAGCCCGACAATTTAGAAGTTAACTTTCAGAGACCCTTAACCGAGGGTGATCTCTCCAAATATCTTTTAAAAGTTTACTCACAAGTAAATCTATCTTCCCTTTTCCGCAGTCACTTCTGACAGTGCATGAAAGACTCTCTTTAAAGCTTCCCTTTCATCTGCTTTCCGCTTGACAGATCCTTTGCTTTGATCTTGTAAGCAGTACCGGAAGGCTGACTTCCTTTTTATCGTCTCCCGGTTTCAGCCAATTTAAAAGCAGTTTAGTCCCCAAGTTTAATGTCCTTACTCACGGGGTTGTTGTCTCAATCAAATCCTTTAAGGAAGAAAGGTCGGCGCTCATCTGTGACAGCCGCGCGGCTTCGCTTCCGCAGAAAGAGCGATGAACTCACAGCACCGCTACCCCTCCTTCACTCCGGAGCCCCTTACGGGGTCCCTTCCGCGATTTCAGGGTCGCTCCTGGTGCCCGCCGAGTCCCACGGCCACGGGCTCACTCTACCCGTGGTTCTTCTTAATGGGTCGCCGCTGTGCCGTAGCGAAACGACCCTTTCCTGCGGAGCCCCTCTTCAGAGATCGAAGAGGACCGCCATCACCGTTTCGCGCCGCCTCCGGAAGTCACATTTAAGCTTAGTAGGAGTGAAAGAGTGAACATTAAAGTTGCACAAGAACTCAGATATGAAATTTTCAATTTATTGTTTTCCTTTTGCTTATCATTTGGGTAAGACAGGACAGCGGGACCTACTGCTGATAAACATGTTTAGGCTTGCCCTTGATCTTCTGGACAAACTCAGAATTAACTTGGAAACTGGTTGAACTTACTTCTAAGTAAACACATATAGGATTTGGCTACATAATCCAATGAAACTTTTCTTGGAGTAAGCTCAGCCGAATTCAGTGGGACGCCCACGTAAACATGCCTAGGATCAAGAAGTAAAACTGCAGTCCATTGTGCTACGCAGGTAAAAGTAAATCCCGTGGGATGCAGTGGGAACAGGCATGCATAGAACTGCACTCTGAGGCTGCAGCCCTAAACATGCTTACTTGGAGAATCTCACTGAACTGAAGGGGACTTCTGCATAAACATGCATAGGGTCATCAGAAACGGGTCCAGTCCGGCATGGGCTTACTTCGGCGTAAGCCCCACGGTGGAGGGCGGATCTCCGATCCCATTAAACATTCGTGAGATCAGGCTGCGCGATCCACAAACGCCTTTAATGGGGTTCCTCTAGCTTGGACACCTCACGTGCTGACTTGGGAGTAAGTAGATAGATGCCCCTTCCGTTTAGGTGTAAAGAAGCACAGCACCCATTTTCATCCGGAGGTCGTCAGCGGGGAAACTAACTGTCGCCTCCACGCTCTTGATCTCTCGCGAACTTGTGAAAACGCAACGAGGTGGCTTCTCTTCACTCACCGACCCCCAGCGCCGCCACTCCCCTCCCAGTTTTGGAAAGGCCACGTGCTACTACTACCGCCCCTGCGTCTTGCTCGAGCCCGGGGGTTGGCGGGGGTCAACTGCTCCGGCAAACGCTGGAAGAGCACTGGGGAAAGCGAGGATAAGGGAGCAAAAGCGAGAAACTCGTGCACATCTAGGGAAAGGATCGGTGCAGGAAGCAAGCTCCTAACGTGCAGTGCCAGATCAGACCGCTCTCTTTTAAAAGCAGTTATGCGTTCAAAAGCTGCACCCACTTCCAAACTATGCAGCGCCCAGCCATTCCATACCCCGCTCCCCATCCCCGGGGCGTTGCACGCCTAATAAAGCCCGCCGTTTGCTCCCCAGGCGTGGATCTTGGCGCCCAAGCGGCCGACTCACCCGGCAGCTTATCCGCCCGTTGGGGTCGCCTGCGCGCTACCTCCTTCCCAGCTCGACTCCAACCCTCGGCTTATCTCCAACCTATCGCCAGCAGCCTACAAAAGAAGTGGTTGGAAACCGATTCGGATTTTAAGCGAAAGGATTCAGCCACCGCGCAGGATGCACGGGAACAACCTGGAGGGGGGCTTCTGAAATCCGACCACCTAGGGCTTGAAGCGCACGTGGGGATGGCTCCCCCCACCGCGTCCCGGTTCGGGGAATGAATATATGGAATCCACCCGCATTTTGGGAATCACAACACACACAGTAACTCTCTGGAAATTTGGCGCCATTATAGAAGTCTTCCCGCCCCCAGAAAATAAAAAAAAACTTTCCGGTATCCCCACCTCCTTAGCAGCCGCTTCTGTCCAACAAGCACGTGGGTCACCGATGCAAACTCGTTAGAACCATCAGATGGCGCGCCGACCCGGCGATTTAGAATACGTCACACCCTCTTCAGCCAATGGCAGCCTGAGCGCCGCCACCTCAAAGGGATTTGGAATACTGGGCTGGCTTTGATGTTCGCTCCTAAAGCGGCATGTTAAGAGACACTTCCTTGTTCTACTCGTCGCAGTGCTGCTCGGTTAGTGGATACAAAATTAGCCATGCAGAATCTTTGGCATGAGCTAAAACTGGGAGAGCATGCATTAAAATCCGTAGGCGAAAACACGAATTTCTGGCTCAACTTCTGCTTTATACGCGTTCACTCTTTCAAAGCTTTTGAGGGAGAAAGGTTATTGGGTGAGAATTCACAGCACAATGAAAAGTATTCTCCTGTAAGGTGCCAAGGACTCCTGACAAGAGGTCAGCAGAGCTAAAGCACAATCCTGTGGATGCCTATTCAGAAATATGTCAATTTAGTTCATTGAGACTTTATCCCAAGTAAGTGGTTGTAAGATATCTCTGCTGTTCCTCTGGAACGGGTGCCGGAAATGGTTGCTGGCAACCAATGTTAATGCTAATGTTCTTAAGTGGGCTTTAAAAAAACCTAAAAACCATATAACTGAACCACATATTCCCCTCAAAAGAAGCCTAGGAACTGTATAGTTTGTCAAGAAAACTGGGAATTGTAGCTCTGATGGGGGAAGCTACATTTCCCAGGATTCTTGGGGGCAGCGCCGGTGCTTTAAATGTACGTGTGCAGTGCCTACGAAATAGGAAAAGCTGAGCTAGATCAGACTGTAGTCCCATTCTAACTGTAGTTTCCTAGTGGCCAGCCACCAATAAGCCTATGGGAAGCTTGCAGGCAGGGCATGAGCCCAAATACCGTATTTTTCGCCCTATAGGACGCACTTTCCCCCCTCCAAAAATGAAGGGGAAATGTGTGTGCGTCCTATGGGGTGAATGCAGGCTTTCGCTGAAGCCTGGAGAGCGAGAGGGGTCGGTGCGCACCAACCCCTCTCGCTCTCCAAGCTTTGCGCAGCTCTCCGCAAGCCGTGGGAGCCCGCGCTAGGCTCCCGCAGCTTGCGGAGAGTTGCCTGCATGCTGAAGCCTGGGCGCGCTGAGAGTTGCCTGTTCTGGGGGCTGGGGTCGGGGGAAGCTCGGGCTTCCCCGCCCCAGCCCTGCGCCTGGGGGGGAAAATAAATTTTTCCCCCTTTATTTCCCCCCAAAAAACTAGGTGCGCCTTATGGGACGGTGCGTCCTCTAGGGCGAAAAATAAATATCCTCTCCCTACCCACCAATAACTGGCATTCAATGCCATTACAGCCTCTGATACCTGAAGTGCTACACAGCGATCATGAACAGTAGTCATTGATAGCCTTATTATCCATGATTTTTTCTAGTCCTCTTTTAAAGCCATTTAAGGAGGCAGCCATCACATCACGGCAAGATAGGTTTAACTATGGAAAAACAGCAGGCCATTATTCAGAGCCGATGTGGGACGATTAGAGCAGGTGTTGCCAATGGACACACGTGTGCCCAGAGACCTTACCTGATGTTCATAGGTTCCTTTCCCCCTTCTAAAATGAGGCTTGGGAGATGCATTCTGCTTTAGTCGACATGTTGTGATGTGTGTGGTGCCCATGAGTTTCTCTGGTTTACAAATGGGCCCTGGGGCCTCAAGGGGGCTGGCAATCTTTGTTGAGACTAGGGTCTGGGAGACCCGTGTTCAAACCTTCACTTAAGCCATGAAACTTGGTGGGTGACCATGGGCCATTCACCATCTCTCTCCCTCCCCTCACAAGGCCATTAGAAGGAGAAAATGGGGAGAAAAAGAAGCTAGTATACCACCTTGAAGTCTTTGATGGCAAGCTGGAAAAGAAGTAATAGTAGTAGTACTACTAGTTGTAACTTTGCCAGATCTATCCCTTCTCCTCCAGCCTACACACAGCTGCATGGCTTACCTGCCAACTTGCTGAATAACAAGGTTACTGTCTTTATCTTGGGACCACTTCTGATATGGCTGCTTTGGGGAAGAGAACTATGGAAGGAGCCACAGTCATATAATCCATCAATCCATTGCCACAGTTATCACCCACAGACCACTTTCTTAGTAAAATTATTGGAGCCACTGTTCTGTCTCTCATTGGAGATACTGCCAGCATTGCAGAATCTCATGTCTCATGTCTACCGGTTGTAGTATTTGGACTTAGTATAGTAAAACAGTTAAGAGCATTAGCCAGGTATTTCTTTCTAATCTCAACACATCTCAGTGGGTGGCTGTAAGAAAACTACTAACATTAAGTGTCATATTGTCTTATAATGTGGGGGTACTCTTACTAGCTGACCTCATAGTGCTGTTGTAAAGATTGCTGGAAGAAATGTGATAGAAGACTGACCCTGTCAAAGGTAAATATGGTTATTACTCGGATACCAATTAGGTTCCAGTGATACAAGTTATAATGAAGATAGTTTGGTATTGTCAAAGTTGTTCAAATGTAAGTTAGTGTGTAAATGAAATTGAACAGCTGAGAAGAATTGTCCAATTGTTTAATAAAAACAGTTTGAAACAAGGTTTTTTTAAAATAAACTATTCTATGAAAACTTATGGTTTTCCTCCGCTATACAGTATGCTGGTTTAATGGTGAAAAGCAAAATCCTTATTTTAAACACCTCGTGTATATAACTACTTAGAAATAAATTCGACTGAGGTTAATGGGGTTTGCTCTCAGGTAAGCCATAGTTTTGTTTTACAAGTTTACTTGTGCTCGGTGGTACTGTTATCTACTTCCAATCTATCTTCCATTTCCTGCAATTCATCCTCCAGTTCATTTTCCAGTTCATGTGAGGACGCAGTGTCACTGTCCCAATCATCTTCACTGTATTTGTCCATTAGGTATTTCTGAGGTGTAATTCCATCATCAAAAGGTTTCTTGGCTTTCTTCCATCTCACTTTCTTGCGCTTTTGTATCTCAGCCAGCTGTTGCTTCTGCTGCTCTGACAATCCAACTCCTTCTATTTCCTTGTCCTTAGTCATTTTTTTGTATTCAATTATTTGCTTATTTAATGCATCATGATCAATTCCAAACAGATTATCACGCATGCAGGAAAGGGACGAGTCCAGGTATGTGGTGGCTCTGGTGTATCGTTGTTCACTACAAGAAAGGGATAAAAAAGTAAGAACTGTAGCCCTAACTGTATGTGATACTTGTCCCTTTGCCGAATTTTTGCCAATTTCCTCCCTCCCACTGCAGCCCACAATGTTCTGGAGGGTCCCTCAATTAGAGAGACATATACTGCACTGTAGGAAGGGAACACTGAGACTACAGTAGGAAAGAAGGAGGTGGTCTTTCACCCACCACAGGCACACAACTCTTAACCAAACCAACAGTAGCTTGAAAACGCATCTTAAAATATTTTAACTAGTTTTTCCAAAGCGTTACATTTGTGTTTATGATTTTATACCTGAAATCATTTTGAACCGATTCCTTTCCTTCTTCTTCAGGCCCAAAATCAGCAGTTGCCAATAACTTCTCAATCTGCAAGAAAATAAATTCACATGCATTTAAGATATCCAGAAATAGGGCCTTTTCTTTGCACAATCAAGAAGTTAAATAAGTTGTAAGCCCTCGTTACCGTGCAAGTGATCCGGTACACATCACATCATGGTAAGTCAATCTAGGGTTTACTGTGTGGATCAGGCTTCTTCAACCTCAACCTGTTTTGAGACTACAATTCCCATCATCCCTGACCACTGGTCCTGCTAGCTAGGGATCATGAGAACTGTAGGCCAAAAACATCTGGAGGGCCAAGGCTGAGGAAGCCTGGTGTGGATTCTGAAAAAGGAGCAAACCTTGCCTAAAGCTAGTGGTTAGTGAGACAGTTTAATCACAGGCCTGGGTCTGAACGACAAACTAAGTCAAATCCTTGACTTAGCTTGGTGCGGTATGGGAGCAAAAAAGGACCGAGGAGGAGCAAAATGGCTGCAAGCTCATCTCCAGGAGCTTGCATGTTTGTGCACTTCCAGTAAGCCATAGCTTGGCTTAATGTGTTGTGCAAACAATATGCTCCTGAAATGTGATAATGCCTTTCAGTTGCTTGGATGGATGCATGTGTAGAAAATTCTGACATGCACAATTGGAATGTAGCATACTGTACACAGATAAGTGTCGTACCCATTGATTTTACCATTTTTGCCACTGGCCACAACCCTTCGCCCTGCTCACTGCTGGCATGTGAGCCCCGTCCACCCAGCAAGTTGCTCATGAGAGAATGTGGCCTTTGGACTGAAAAATTGACCCCACCCTGGATCAGCCTAGTGCAATAGTATATTTCTGTTAACAAGTTGCTACGAATGCATCCCAAAATGGCTTTTCCTGATTTTTGTGGCAGTGGGATGGGGGAGGGATGGGAGCAGCATCCCATCTCCATGATGCAATTACCCTGACAATGCATATTAACAATACAGTTATGCAATTTCTTCCTTACCTCTCTTATAGCAGCATCTTCTTTGTCTCTGACAAACACTAATGAAGGAACAGTTCCTAGGACCTGATGTGAAATCAGAAGGTGTCTGTAAAAAAAAGAAGGAAGGAAGGAAGGAGAAACCTCTAATATTAAAATCAACTACAATTTTGTTAAGTGTTTGGAGAAAATGGAAATCAAAAAACAAAGATAGAATGAAAAAAAATGAAGCACTGTAACATCTTCTAATTACTCTATTGGAAAATTATCCAGTTTTCAAGTGGAAAGTAGGCCCACCCAACTTTTGTGGCAAACCCCATTCCACAGGGCCATGTCAGCTAACTATACCCTTGCGGGGATTTCCTGCAAAGTGAGAGTGATGCACAGGAAACAAACCACTCTTTCCTGTTTATTCAGCAGTACAGCTTCCTCTTCTAGAGCAGATTCTTGCAGATCCCAGTCAAGTAGGTACCAATGAAGGGAAGCAGAAATGTATTTTGTATGTGTGTATTTGAAAAGTAACATGGACTGCTCTGTGTATACACAAAAAATGTTATTTTGAACACTTGCATGGAAGTGTGTGTATTTGTTTGTATGCACATGAGCAAGCATGCATATCTGTCTGTGCATGTTGCATAAGAATGTAACTGAAGGAAAACAGTACATACATGTTTCCGCATGTGCTGAAGGTGCTTGCGAGCCTAACGGTGTAACATAAGCAAGCTAAAGTTGGGCATTTGAGTAACAAAAACACAATTTGAGCAGTTAGACCAGGAATGGCCAAACTTGGCCCTCCAGCTGTTTTGGGACTACAACTCCCATCATCCCTAGCTAACAGGACCAGTGGTCAGGGATGATGGGAATTGTAGTCCCAAAACAGCTGGAGGGCCAAGTTTGGCCATGCCTGAGTTAGACAATCATATATTGGCAAACTATTTTTAACGTGTTAGTTAAAGAGATGCTTGAATTGTGAACAGGTTTAATATTTATGCACTTTTTAAAGTTTAATATTTATGCACTTTTAATATTTATGCACTTTTTAAAGTTTAATATTTATGCACTTTACAGTGTTAGACAAAGTTTTTATACCACCTACATAGTGGCATTTTAGATTTTGGAAATTTGACCACAGCCAAATAATAAACCAGTCAACTGACCACATATTCTTAAGTCCAACACTCAACGTGCCCTTTTAAAGTTGCCAATATGGTCTCTAGACAAGGACATTCGCCCTCCTCTGGATACAACACTGTAGTACCTTATACGTGGACCACTCTTCTGTAGAACCTTCTCAATGTAGTCATCATGTTCCACACTGCCAGTAGTCTTCCAGTAGATACGACATACTGAAAAATCTGATGTGAGGGACGCCTATGGAGTTAAAAATGCCAATTGTAATGGCACATTTTACATGGTGAAGAACTCTAAGCTTGGAAGAGGGCAGTGACAATAATCCCATTACATTCAAGAGGTTCAAGAAGAGGATTAGTATTACCTAAGCAAAGCAATTCCTGACAACAATACGTGTGTATTCACTTCCCATATCCAACTTTTTCTACTTATGCCCGACTTTCGACAGGGAGTGATGAATATCCTGCATTAACCAAGGGTTGGACTACAGGGCGTTTTCCAATTCTGTTACAGTTCTTGAGGTCAGACTGCAACAACCATCATGAAGTCTGTAGAACAGGTTTCATGACTGGGATTTGACGGTCCTATTACATTTCTGATCTCACAACTTTATATTAGGGACTTTGCTGGATTGACGCCTTTTGTACTTGCCTTAGACAGTTCCACGTTGAGGTCATAAACTTCTTGGCCAGCCTCAAAGGTACTCAAGACATCTCTCACAGCTTTAAGCAGAAGAACATTTAGGGCTCTTTTACGTATGCTGTCTTCTGTCTTCACTTTTGGTGGACAAAGCTTTAATATACTTGCCAAGTTGGATGGCTTGTGTGCCTTTAAAACAAAAAAAGATTGCTGAGAGGAATATCTTGTGCATCAAGCATGATCTACTTTTCCATCGTAGTTGTCTTTCCAATTTAAAAATCTGTCTGTGCTTACCAGGGAAGAGCCCAGTGCAGGACTATCATACCAAAACTTCTTCCTTTTGGGAAAAAAAGAGAGAGATTATATGAGTTTTATGGATTTAACATGAGCAATAATGTATCAAACATATGTCAAAATACAGCAGCACTATTCTAGGAGAGGCAGATGCAGAGCCGTCTTTCCCATACGGCTTAGTGGTTCGTTGCGCCAGGGCGCCGGCCTCTCAGGGGTGCCCCAGCAAGTGGGAGAGCTGCGCAGCTTTGCCAGCGGCCTCCCCTTTCCCTGCACACCTGCCAGCTGCGCCTCGCCAACCATATGGCTGGTGAGCACGCAGATTGTCTCCCAAGCATCTGCGGGGATTGCTCTCCCACAGCGGCATGGGGGAGAGTTGTGCACACACACACCCCATGGCTGGCAGCGCGCAGCTTCGCCCCCCCATCTGTGGTAATTTGGGAGCACTTAGCGGCTATTTTCACCCCACCGCCGCATCTGCTAAAGATGGCCCTGGGCAGGTGCACTTGTCATCTGAGGCCCTTCTCTATGTCCCGCTTCCAGACAGGTTCAGAGAGTGGCAACAAGAGAAAGGGCCTTTTCTGTGGTGGCTCCCCATTTGGGAAACGCTCTCCCCAGAGAGACTCAGTTGGTGACCTCATTACATGTCTTTAGAAGCCAGGCAAAAACATTCCTCTTTACCCAAGCCTATGGCTTTTAAATAATCTATGGCCTGCGAAAGTATGGGGGAGAGGACTGTTATTATGATGCTGATTTTACTACAGTCATACCTCGGGTTGAATATGCTTCATGTTGAGCGCGTTCGAGTTGTGCTCCGCGGAAACCCGGAAGTAACGGAGTGTGTTACTTCCGGGTTTCGTCACTCGCGCAGATGCTCAAAATGATGTCACGCGCATGTGCAGAAGCGGCAAAAAGTGACACGTGCGCAGATGTGCCGTCGCTAGTTACGTTTGCTTCTGGATGCGAACCGGGCTCCGGAACAGATCCCATTCGTATTCAGAGGTACCACTGTATCAGGCTGTCTGTCAGCATGCTTTTTACTTTGTTTTTGTCATTGATGTTTTGTAATGTATTTCTTATGCTGTACACCACCCTGAGATCTTTTGATAAAGGGCACTATATAAATTGAAACAGGAACAACAACAATAATAACAACAATAGCCTGGCTTATAATCTTAACACTTGCTGGATCCGGGGGTTAGAAGGATCTCCCATACATTCTACTTCCCCGCCGCCGCCACCCCCCCACCAACTCATAACAATAATCAGTATAAAGTGCTAAAGGAGGGGCCCTTAAGGGGGCTCCTTAAGGGGGCTGGCTGGGTGGGATCAGAGAAACAATTCATTGCCGTTTATGAGCTTCCTGGGCAGCAAGTGTCACTGATACTCTGCACAGCACCTGAACAGCAGTGAGAGCTCAGCTGGTTCAGCACCAGCCTCTTAATCTCAGGGTCGTGGATTCGAGCCCCTATTGAGCAAAAGTATTCCTGCATTGCAGGGGGGTTGCACCCTCGCGGTCTCTTCTGACTCTACAATTCTATGACTTTATCCTTTTCCAAAAGAAGTCTGCCTTACTCAGTTAGGTAAGGAAAGTATTGCAAATCTATGGCTGTCTATTATTATTATTATTATTATTATTATTATTATTATTCGGGGGTGGGGGGTGCGTTACTCACTTCTTTTTAGAGAGGAACTTCTTGAGCTGGTTCCTGGAGCCGCAGAGGGCGGCGGAGCAGCGCAGAGCCCGGCAGCCGGGGCAGCCCAGCGGAGGCAGGCCGAGGCCGCCGTCCTGAGGCCGCCACCACCAGGCTGCCGTCCCGGGAGGCGGAGTCGCTCGGCTGCTGGCAAAGGCTGCAGCGGCCGCGCTTCGAACGCCCCACATGGCGAACTCGGGACCCTTCGCCGCGCAGGAGTTCCAAGACCTCCCCGTCGGCTGGAAGCAGCTCCGCGGCCGCGGCTGCTCCTCCTCGCACCGCAAGGCCCCGGCAAGGTCTGTCGCGGGAAGCTGCCGCAGCGCCCCCAGCGGCCTTGAAGCGCTCTTTTCGCCGCAAAGCATCCGCGCTCGCAAGCCCTGAACACCTGGCGGCGCCCGGCGCCTCTGAGTCGGTAAGCGCCGCCCTTCCGCAGTCATGCTTCGCTTTCTGATGAATGAGCGCGCGGGTTTGCTTTGCGATCACTCCTGTCGCGAGGTGGCCGTGCACATGCAGTGAATATTGCTGCTTTGTTATTACTACAATAAATTATATGCCGATGGTGACAATAAAATTATTATTGGGGGGGGGACCATGTATGGTGTAGACTTGACCTTATGACTGATCTCTCTTTTTTGGTGATATTTTTAATTTTATTTACATTATTACATTCAATTACAGATTTTAACATATGTAAATCTCTATATGTATATATATTTTCCTTATTCCTACCCCGTGACTTCCCTCCATCACTTTACAGCTTCTTTTGTTTTTGTTTCTTATTTTATTCTGTTGTGTATATTCTTTGTGTTTTCCCCATAAAACGTCTGTCAATATCTTAGCTTTACAAAATTTAGTCAATGCATATCAATAAATTTGTTTGAGAATGATGTTTTGTTATATATTCTTTCATGCATTCCCATTCTTTCCTTAGTTTCTATTTTGATTGATATCTGATAGCTGCTATAAATTCAAATACCGGTAGTTTATTTTGCCAACCCATTCTTGATGGGACAATGTCCCCTTTCCAATTTTTGGCTATTAGTCTGGCAGCAGCTGTAGCATATAAAAACACTTTTTTCTTGTTGTTGGGCATGTCTATTGATACAATGCCCAACAGGAACGCTTCTGGTTTTTTTCTCAAATGATGTTTTAAACATCTTTTTCAGTTCCTCGTGAATACTACTCCAGATTTTTTTTATTTTCTCACATCCTCACCATACGTGGTACATCGTTCCTTCTACCATATTGCATCTCCAACAAGTGTTAGTTTTTAATTTGTAGATGTAGTCAGTTTAGAGGGAGTCATATAACACCTGTACATCATCTTTCTAAGATTTCTCTTATTGTGCAACAAGCAATAAATCTTTTATCTTGCTTCCACAATCTTCTCCATTGCTGTATCTGGATGGTATGTCCGATATCTTGGGTGACAACACAAATTATTATTACCGTAATAATAATAATAATGTGCGTTCCACCAAATTCCATGCAATTAATTGCCAATTAAGGTTGAAATGTGTACCCATTCATTATACATTTGAGTGCCTTCTTTTTTTTTCTCATTAAGGCTACATATTTCAAACCCCAAATAGTGCAAGAGTGGGACTGTTTCAGCCGCTCCAAAATATGTATTTTTGAGGAAGGGATGAGCTGGTGATCAGTATCCTCTGTATCAATCTCATTTTAATGCTGGAGTGTGCTGTTCAGTGCTGACATGTTTGGTGTGCAGAAACAGATAACTGTTGTGGAGGAATGCTGTGCATATGTGGCTGTATGTTTTGTGCTTTGAAATTGTATGTGACCTCTATTGACTATTTTTATTTGGCTTTTAATGGTTGAGTATTTACGGAATCCTGTGCTCCTTTGCTAGGGAATAACAATGCATATCTACGCGGAAGAAAATCCTGTTGAATTTATTCCCAGGCAAGTAGGATTAAGACGGCGGCCCAAATCCCATTAAATTCTGTGGTACATACTGCTGAATTTATGTAGGATCATCAGGCAACATACCATTTTTTCTTCTGAACTTTTGTTTACTGTGCTCTTGTGATTCTCTTTCTTAAACCTGAACACCATTATTATAACCTTTCCTGCTTCCAAACCCTTGATGAGATGGAAATGGCAAATCTTGTTTTAGGGACGTACAACTATGGCTATCATATTTACAAAGAAAATATAGGCACCTAAATGTAATCCAGTAAAATAAATCACCATAAATTGCTTCTCTTATGAATGTATCTCATTTCATAATTCTCAAAACAGAAACTTTAATATATGAGAAACCACAGCATGTCACACAGATTGTACCCTGGACAATATAGCAGTGAACTGTAAGGGAAACACAGGGATCTAAACAGAGACCATTATTTGTGGTGCAACACCCATCTCGCTTGTATTTATTTTTGATTCAGATTTGTCATGGCCAATAGCTAGTACAATAAAGTTATTTGGATTGGATTGATTGTAGCTATACAAATGTCATGGACATTTTCAGAATAATTCTTGTGATGTTTTACAGCACACTCATTTAATATCCCAGTGCTAAAGATCTCATCCAGCAATATTTTTTTAAAAACAGAAAAAAGGACATATTACAACTTTTTATTTTTTTAATTTGTGTTTCCATTCCATTTAGCAAAGGCCTGTGAAACAAATTGAACAATACAATAAAGGAAACACATCAAATAGCATATTCATTCATTTTTCTTTTTCATATCTGAATATAAGTACAAACTTTTTTTTTTACTGAAAATAAAAATTGAATATATAATTTTCATACGAAACACCTTGAGACAGATACAGCAAAATGTACACAGAATTAACATTTCATCTGTATCATATGGAGAATGTTACACATGCACTTCATTAGGGACTGGGAAACCACTGACACCAGCCAAGATGCTTTCAACCATGTTTTTCATCATCAGATAGCGAGCTTTTGAAGTTGCACTTCCAAGGTGAGGAGTTATAATGACATTCTTTAAATGTAATAAAGCATGATCTCTGAAGGAAGAAAGAAAATAAACCAGAAATTTAATTAAAATCTTAGTAAACTATGCCACTATTTTTACCACAAAAAGTCTGTGAAAATGAACAGATTATTAATTTAGGCTTGGTTCCTAACAAGGCAGTTGCTGGCAAAAAACATTCCTACAGAGTTCTGTTCACAGGATGCTTCTGCCAGGAGAAGGGGAAGATGTGACTGATTGATTCCTTGTTCTCCCTGAAATGTCTCATGACCATGAAAATCTGCTCCAAAGGGTTGCGGGAGCCTTCAGAACAGCATGAAGGACAGAGAGGGTGAAAATTACCTTCCTTCATGTGCCAACAGAACCATCCACTGCTCTCAGTCCTTTCTATAATTGGAAGGAAACTAACTAAAACATGCCATCACAGGCACAATCAAATCCCAGTCTTAAAATCAGTTCAGGGTCACAAAGGCAGTGCTTTTTTCTTTAAAAAAATGTTTAGGGCTACTGTCATTTTGAGTCAAGAAAATCACCATTTTATAGTTCAAATCAGGGGAAATAAATACAGTAAATGGACAAAAGTACAAAGATTCATAAAACGTTTAGGGGTATGCGTCGCCCCAGAAAAAAGCACTGCAAAAAGGTATCTAAATGACAGGTATGTTCTGTGTGTCCGCTAGTCACACATCACATTTTAATCTATTTGTAAACATTTGTATCTTCTCCTTCATTTGAGGAGTTCCAGATGGTGTACATAGAGATGGAACTGAATAAGGAACCTTCAGATTGTTTTCTGCATACACAAAATACAAGTAAGATTCACATCTGCATTATACAATGAAATAATGAAAAAAGGTTGCTTGCGTCCATTAATTTGCCTGCTAACATGTTCAAGGCTTAAGGCGTCTGAATGACTGATCTACTTTTATGCTGCAATGGCAGCCATTTGCATAGGTACTGTGATTTCACAGTTCACTTAAGGCAGGGGTCAGCAAACTTTTTCAGCAGGGGGCCAGTCCACTGTCCCTCAGACTTTGTGGGGGATCGGACTATATTTTGGGGGGGGGAAATATGAACGAATTCCTATGCCCCACAAATAACCCAGAGATGCATTTTAAATAAAAGCACACATTCTACTCATGTAAAACACGCTGATTCCCGTACCTTCCGCAGGCCAGATTTAGAAGGCGATTGGGCCGGATCCGGCCCCTGGGCCTTAGTTTGCGTACCCATGACTTAAGGAGATTTGCACATATGAGGTCAAAGGAGGCCTTGGAATCTGAATTCCAAGGTCCATGAGCAACTGTTATTAAACTGATTGCATAAGTATTGTCTGTGCATCATGGGGTTTAAAATTATACCACCTTGCCTATGCAAACCAGTTAACATTTCAGAGCCATTACAATGTAAAGTTTGCATTAACACACTACGAGTGATACCCAACTAAGTCATATTCCAACTAAGTCATATTCCAACTTAGATTCATTGAATTTAATGGATCCACCCTGACTAATACTAGATAACAACCCTATATCACATCTACAGTAACCTGAAGAATTAACAATTGCCATGGTTTGGAGTAAATATCCAGCTGCTTCATCTTAAATTGCCCTTGGTGATGGGGCCCTCCAGATGTTTATATTTATTTTTTTAATGTATTAGATTTCTAACTGGCCCTTTAATGTGAAGTGCCAGGGTGCGCTACAACAATGAAATATACAATTACAAAATACACATAAAAACAAACAGAAGAGTTGCAGCCATAAAAGGGGGAAAATGTAAAAAACAATTACAAACATTTTTAAATATAAAAATGTGGTTTTAAGGAGAAATTTGTACAAAAATGCTGGTGAATTTCCATGAAGATTTTTTCTTTAAATCAGCTCATTTGCTGTGGAAATGTGGAGAAATGAATTTAAGATTAGAAAAGTAAGAAACTTAGAAGACCAAAACTGATTCATCCATTCTTAGACAAATCAGAAATGAGTCAGAATACATTTTGGGACATAGATTATGCCAAAGATGGGGCAATCGATGGCAAACCAAATAGTTAATGGACAAACATTGGTTCTGATTTCTGCTTAAACATTTTCATGTGGAACCATTCTTACCTTGGCAATGGCTCAGGATATGTCACATCCAAAGCTGCGGCCTTAATAACTCCATTTTTCAGTGCGTTCACCAATGCATCTTGATCAACCACTTGACCTAAATGAAAAATCGTACTGTTTTATTTGAACCAAAACATAGACTGCAATATAGACAGCAATATAGAAATGCCATCAGCCGAGATTTCTGCAGAACGATAGTGTGTGTCCAATATCTGTTCCAATCTAGCTCAGTCTTTCCCAATCTGGTGCCCTCCAGGTTTGGGCTAGAACTCCCATAATCCCTTACCATGGACCACTCTAGGCTGCCTGCTGGAATGGATGAGATTTGTGCTCCAAAACATTTTAAGGACACCAGGTTGGGAGAGGCTTATCTAGCTCTACAGTGCCTAAAAAGGAGGAGACTAATCTCCTGAAACAAGGGCAGTGGACAGTTGCTGGAGATGACATGATTTCCCCCAACATCTCTCATTCTTGTGTGTTGACGCCACAAAGTAATGGAGCGTCGTCAGTCTAGAGCCTCTTTCCAGGAAAATGTGGTTTACTGCCCAAACATGATTCAGTATCCTACCTCTAGAGATGTTGATAAGAGTAGCAGTGGGTTTCATGAGTTCCAACTCCTTTCTTCCAATCAGTTTTTGTGTTTGAGGTGACAGGTTCACAGACAGTATGACAAAGTCAGAACGCTGGAGTAAGTCTTCCAACTTTGCGCAATAAACAGCACCAACAGCCTGTTCATCAGCCTCATTCCTGCAGGAAACAAACGTTTAGCTCTAGTTAAGCATTTAACAAAAATAGCATATACGGTAGATTGTCATTAAACATTTTCATGAAACCACCAGGATGTCATCTGGGGATGTGAGTTTTAGTGTCAGCAATATACAGATGATACCTAGTTCTTTCTTTCCTTTCCCAACAAAATCCTGGACCTTTTGTCAAGGATCAGTGAAGGACTAATAATAAACTGAAACTTTTTTTTTAAAAATGAAGATACAAACTAGGAGTGGAACTACTAATCCAGGAACAAACTTTCAGGTTCTTCTGGATGGAACTGTACATTTTTTGGGCGTTCTCCTGGAACCAGCATTACCTCTGGATATACAGGTGACAGGAGTTGCCATACGTCCGGAATTTCCCGGACATAGCTGTGATTCGGCTATAGGAAACAGGTCCGGGAACATCCGGACATATGGCAACCCATGTCAGAAGTGTAAATTTTGGTTAATTTCCTTTATAATAGTTCAAAACATCTTCTTTTTTTGAGACTTTGAAAAAAAAAAAGCTGGGCCAAAAAAAATCCCAAAACTATCTCAACAACTTTGCAAAAAAAAAAGGAAAAAAAAAGGTGTCCAGATTTTCACATTTTGAAATATAGCAACCCTACCTAGAAGTGCTTTTGCCAAATTAAAGCTAGTGTACCAGCAATATACATCCTTTTTGGGAGAAGGGAGGTTGCAAGAATGTCTCCGAGTCACAACCAGCATTCAGGGCTACAAAACAGAAATTTATGAGGAGCCGGGGGGGGGCAGCGGAATAAGTGCTATTTCTTCCTCCTCCCAGCTAAGGTGTGTAAAAAGGCAGGATTTTGGAGGAGGCGGTGGGGGGGACAGTAAAACAGCCGAGCTGTAAGTGAAAAAAGCATTTGGGAAAACTTCTTCCCTATGGATGTCCTGTGCTATCTGCTTCCACCTACGATCACATTTTATATTTGTAAACAAACCCAGATATTACCAAAACACCTTAAGTCCCCCGTGACCTCTTCCTTCCAAAACTAATCAAACCTAAGTAAGACCAGCCCAGTGACTAGACATGGAGATGATATTAGAAAGTATTGGTGAAATGAAAATACAGCTATCCTTGGGAATTTGTACTTGTCTAAATTGTGCAATGCACAAACAATGTTAGCAAAAATGAATACTGTATATTAGGAGAAAGTGTGCATAAAACTGAATATATTAGTTAAACTAACATTAAAACTGCATTGTGTTAGGAAAAATTGCTTGCAAAAATGTGTACTTTAATCCAAAATGTCTTCACCCGGGAAAATTTGCATTATAATTCTGATGAATTCTCATGAGGAAAATTAAAAAATAATAATTCCCCAATTGTTGCAGAGATATAGAGAACCAAATGTAAGATTGAAAAACTGAAAGAATGGAAATTGGCAGATCTTTCTATTCCTACTCATGACCTTGTCACTTCTCAGAGAAGTAGGCCTTGTTTAATAGGTACTCTATTAACATTCACAGTAAATGTTTAGGCAGTCCAGGGAAACTCAGTCAAAGCACAATGGATTAATGCAGACAGTGACAAAATAAATGCTGAAGTTATCAGGTGGGTAAAATCAGATTAAAACACCGAGATCAGGCAGAGGTTTACCTCCGGCTCCTATTATGATAAAGAATGTTCATTTCAAAAGCTCTGGCTCTCTGGGCCACTTTGTACCCAATAGCGCCCATTCCAATGATCCCCAGCGTTGCACCGTTAATTTCTTCTCCTAACCAGTCAGCCATAAAACATTTAGTGTCAGGAGAAACTGCAATCTGATGACCTAGAAATTCAGACAGACAAAAGAAAATGAGGGTTTGCAGTGTTTTAGGAGATCAGCT